ATACTTGCATGGACTCAATCGTTCTGCAGTGCTTCACTGAGCTGGTTGTTTCCTATCCGCCATGCCCAATTCGGAAGAGTTTGCGCAAAAGGTTTGGACCACAAACAACCGAGCATTGTGGTTCCTATTTGGCTTGAACTCTTGTACTTGCCAAAGCAATGCAGCCGTGAACATGGATGGGGCTTCAATGGGAACGAACAGAACGCTTGTTGCCATTTGCGTTGCACGGCTCAGCTAGAAGAAGTTTACAGCCAAGACGACGAGAAGAACGAGCGTGCACCAGTTCACAAAAGATGCAATTACAGAAAGTCGTGGCGAGAGCGCGGAACACTTCCGTGTGTTCTACCAACCAGTGTCACGCCTGCGCAGCACTTGCGTGCCTTGTATTGGTTCTGCCCAAAGGATAAAACCTGGGGCAAAATCCGCCAGCGACTTCGAGATCTGGTATGGCTTCAACTTCAAAAGCACACGGTCCAGTTGGGTGTCCTGGCCGCGTGGTGGTAGTTGACGAGACCTTCTTCACCAAGAAGAAGAATGCAGGTGGATTTCAAGGCAGAACTACCTCAGGTCACGGGACAATTGTCATGGGGTTTTTGGAATTGGATCTGGGTATCAGACTTATTAGACAGGTGACCAGAGCCTGTCCAGACCGCAAAACGAAGACATTAAAGGCGCAGATTGAAGCAGCACATGTGCAGCCTGGCTCTTTGATTTTCACAGATCGCCACAAGTCCTACTCATTCTTGTCGCGCAGGAACAGTGGCTATGTTCATCGTGCCGTCAACCACAAACAAGGAGAATTCTCCCGTGTGGAGAAAATCTTTGGACAAGACATCAATGTCACCACAAACGCCGTAGAAGGCTTATTTGGTCGGTTGAAGTACGGCCGACTTGGCAAGCGGGCGTATGGTGAGGTCTTGGGTGAGTTCTTGTGGCGTCAGCAGTGCTCTGCTTTTGCTGCCGAACCACTGTCGAACTTGTTCGCAGAGATCAAGGACTGGCAAGACAATCATCCTCAACGGCAGCATGCGCTTTGGAAGAGAACTGTAGCCCTGTAGGCAGTGTAAGATGTAGGGTCGCTCACTTCAGTTTTGGGATGCTTCGAGGTCTAGTGTGCGTCCTAGTTGAGAAAATTCGTGCCACTCAGGTGCACCTGCCTTTGGGAGAGGCCGATGTTCCAGAGGATGCTCTGCGAGACTTCAAGTCGATGCTAGAGAATGAATCGGATGCGGAGGATGCCGGACAGCAGCCGCCCCCACCCAGCGGCCCTGACAATGCGCCGGCGGTGCTGGCGGCTCCCAGCGGCCTTGACAATGCGCCGGCTGCGGTGTCGGATTCTGGAAATCAGGTTGAAGGTCCAGCCAACGTCAAGAAGGAAGAAGAAAGCGACAGTGACATCGAGTCAAGCCTGCTTCCAAGAAGGCGTGCCGATCCTGGACCGAGGTCAAGGAAGAGCAGGTGGCCGACACAGCTCCATCTTTACCTCTTGCTGCTTCGTCTTCTTCTCGGACTTCTCGGCCCTCTCAGGGCAAATTTTGCAGCCAAGGACACGGTTTGCAGTTGCGTGAGCCGACGCAGAATGTGATCCTAAGCAAGCGCAAATATGCGTGGTTTGAAGCAGACTGCGACGTGTGTGGTAAAGATTTGACAGGGCACACGACGTACAGGTGTGATCTCTGTGATTTTGATCTTTGTCGTGCCTGCGCGCGTGAAGCCTAAGTGACTGTATGTACTGTCTTGTCATGCTTTTGTGCACCACTCTTGATGCTGTCGCGCAACACGAGTGCATCGACTGGAGTGATTGGAGTCGATTGGAGTCCTACGCAGCAGAGACAAGCAGTAAAAGTGAGATCAGTCTCCGGCTTCAAGTCTTCAAGTTCGTGCCACGGGTTGGGAGACATGGACCACACCGAACCCATGGTGTTTGCAGTTTGCGGCAGTGTTAGCTTTGAAGCCAGATTCGTTGGAAAGAGGAGCATCGTTGGGCACCTGCAATGCAGAATTGCTTTGGCACGCAGGTGGATGAGATTTTTCCACAGGTTTCTTGTGTAGAGCGCTTGCTTCTTGGAAAGGGCAGCTTTGTTTTGGCGTGAGAAGTACGCACATTTGTTTGGGTGTGGTTGGAGCATGTGTCGAAACCATTTCACATGTTGTCGAAACCTTTCCGCAAGCCACAGCCCACCGGGAGCCAGTTCGAATGTTTAGAAAGCTGAAGTCCTGGCTCAACGGCTGCCGAACCAAAGCAGCGAGGAAAAGTTGCGGTGGGTGCCCGCTCTCTGTGGTTGTTGTGTCCCTTCACTTTTCCTGATGTGAAACAGACGAATGCGCAATCTACAATTTGCTCAGTCTCTGCAAGGCCATTGTGTGTTGATCGCGACGATTTAGTGGGTCGAAGTCCAGCATCGTCTTCGAAGTGTTCGAGAAGCCCTTTCCTGCGCCAGGCCGTTTCCTGCGAGAGGTCGTTTCTGTGCATCGGCTGTTTCCGGCATTGGCTTGTCTCTGACCAGACGTCACCTTGCAAAACTGGGGGTACCTTATCCTCCTGCAAGTGTTTTCTGGTCAGAGGCAGTTTCCTACCAGAGGCCGTATCTCTCAGGAGGCCGTTTCCTACGAGAGGCTGTTCACCCACAAGTTTGGTTGCATTCCGTTCCTGTCTGAAGACAAAACAAATGGCATCCGAAATAACGGCAAGAACGTTTTTGTCTGAACATAAAAAATAAGTTCCAGACAAAATCGCATTGGGTAATCCAAAGCAAATAAAAAACACTTCACAAAAAGCTGGAAAAAGAGTTTACCGCGACGCGGGTGACGCGCTAGCTTGGTCCGGCCGAAAACCTGTGAAACGATGGTCACAGTTGGACTGGTGATTTTCGAAAGCCAGATGTGAATTTTGCTGCCCTAATGGATGGCATTGGAAGCTGCGCGACAACACAGAAGATTCCAGACCATACTGATCCGATCTGACATGATGTAATGTGATGTGGTGGATCGGATTTGATAGTCTGGCTCGGTTTAGGCAGGATCGGGTCGGGTTTGACATGATCGGACATGGTTTGACATCTGACATGACATGACATGACACGACATGACATGACAGAATTAACAGGAAATGATATGACAGCATATGACATGGTATGATATGTTTCGAAATGTTATGATATACCTGTGTATGCTTCGTATGCTATGGTATGCTATGATATGATTTGACAAAAGTTGATATGCTTCGTTATGCTATGATATGCTTTGATATGCTATGCTGTGCTTTGCTATGATATACTATGGTATGATATGACATGATATGACATAATGTAGTATGCTATGGTATGTTATGATAAGATTCTAGATGCTATGATATGCCATGATATGCTGTGCTGACCTCTGCTATGATATGATATGATATGCTATGATATGATATTATGGTATGACTTGATACAGACTCATAGACGCGTTCATGCATATTTGACTCTGTGGTCTGGATTATGCACATGTTCGTTTAATGTGTACACATATGTATGTGTCTCTGTGTATATAAATATTTTTTTTGGAGAAGCACAGCACAATCGTGAGCACATGAAAAACACAGAGAACCTAAGCCACCACAGCATCCCTTTCTGTTGCCTTTCCCACTCGCAGCAAATTTCGGTTGGTCATTCCGTGCACGGATCATTCCCTTTTGATTTTCTTTTACGCCGTTTTGCGCAAAAGCAAAAACGAGTCCTTGAAGTTTACACGATAAGTTTGGTTCGGAACCAATCCTGTGAAACTGTGCTGCTTGAGTAACTGCGTTAGTCTTGTCAGTAGTTTCTAGTGATTCAAAAAATCACCAGTTTGGAAGAGAGTTTTTTGCACCGCTTGAGTGATAAAGGTTTCCACAGGAATCGTTGAGCCCTGTTAGCTTTCGGCAACATTTGCATCGCGTGCATGCCACAAAAACTTCAGGCGTAGCTCATGATGGGAAGGAGTGGATGGCCACCGCTTGACAAGATCGATAAAGTTGTTGCTTGTCGTGGATGCCATCAGCTCCAATCTTTTTGGACATACGAGGAATGAACGCGTTGCAATGTCAACTTTGCTTCACAGTTTAACAAAAATTCCACGTTCATTTGATAGCATTCGTGTCGAACATGCGAATATGTCGTGTGGTAGCTACAGATGCTGCATGTGATTTCTAAGCAATTGCGACCTTGCGTTCCATTTGGGATTTTAATGGCATGACCACGACGATTTACGCTTTGAGATTCGAGCTTGTGAAGTCCGTTAGGACAATTAGGACAACATGTGGTTTTTCGAGTTCAAACTGCATTCATTGACGTGTTAGGGGATGCTTTCGAAAATTTACCTTGGGAATGCAGGCATTGCGTGTTTTTTTGTTGAACTTTGAGTCATTGGATGAGCAGCCAACATTTTTGGTGTTGTGCTTTATGGCTAGTTCCGGGGCAGGCAAGCTTCAACCAATTTCTGGGTGTAAACTGTTTTCAGCTGCATGCATAACAGAGATCATTGCTAAGTGGGACCTGTGTTCAATTTCAGGGCTAGTGTTTGGGTTCCTCCAGTTGGTCCATGCTGTTGTCTGTGAATTCCCGTTTTTGGAGCGGTTTGCGGATTGTCAAAGAAACAGAGATCCTCTGACATTTTAAGTCTGTTCGTATGGCAAGTTCAGAAGCCGGCAGCTGTTGTAGTCTCACATGTTTCATGTTATTACAAAGCAACAGATCAAAAAGATGCAGTTGTCATGCGAACTTAAAGCATGTGTGTTGAAGTCAACTTCGACATGAAAGCAGACCGCTTGTTGCCGTCTTTGCAGTGGATTAACAATCGATTGACATGTTGTTTGTCCTGGTCCGCGAAAGCGCAACCCACAAAAGACACACCACGGAGTACCATTCCCAGCCACATGAAACGGATGCAGTTTCCCATGTAGTCTAACCGGGCCATAGGCACCGCCTCAGCCTCAGATTTCAATGGCGACTGTTTGACAACGAAGGCGTTGTGCTGAGGTCATGGTTGCAAGCCAGGCGAGCAGAGCGCTCCAAAGTGGCATCTGGCATGCCGTTGTTGCCATGTGTGATCCTTACCAGCTCAGACTTGGTGCAAGATCATCCTCACAGACAGCAATTGCAACATAAGGCCTCTGAAGCTAATGGGCTTCGTGAGAAGCAGATCAACACGCAGGATCTCCTGTTCCCCGTAGTTCTTGATTTTCTGGTGGTTTCCTCGGTGAGCTCTGCCAGGATTTCGTCAAAAAGAATACGCCGCAGAGCCATGAACCCAACAATGATTGCAGATCAGTTGAGTGCAGCCAACAGCCATGTGCACAGAATGGTCGCAGCACTTGAAGCAAGCCTTGTGATTTTCAGGCCGGCCAACCTATGGCATGCAGAGCACTTTTGGTGTTCTCCTGTCTTGCGCTTGAAGTTGGCGGAGCAACTGCAGGACAGGACTGCAGGACTTTCTGCAAAACAGAGCGACATCGAAATCGCATGAGCCGTGCACAGGCAATGCCGAGGCTGCAGATCCCAGGCTGTCTGGTACGTTTGAGCGACTTCTTGTTCTCCTTGTTCGCAGAGCCGCAGAGCCATTAGTGCTGCTGTCCTCTCGATCTGTGCAGGCGTGCCACGGCTGTACAGGTTTCTTTTGAAGTGTTTCCTGTGGACGGCTCCAACATACAGGCGCATCAAAGCTTGTGGCATGAACGTGTGCTGCAGTTGTGCCAGCATGCTTTTTGTCAGTGTGTGCCCTTCCGAATTCAGGTGGAGCCGCAGAGCAGTACCAATGTGGTTCTGCCAAGTTTCAAGCTGCGGATTTCATGTGCTGTAATCCCGAGGGCGCCCACCGTTTCCGTCTACAGACAAGTCTTGAATCTAGGGGTTTTGCCAGCGCCCCAATCTGTTGAGAAGTATTGTGAGTGGCAGTGCCGCAGCAGCCCAGGGTTGCGAGCCTGCTCTTGCGAGTCGGAAGCCGATCCTTGACCCCGTGCTGCAACGGCAGTGATGTTCCCGCGCCTATGAGAGTTCTCTGCCATGACCATGACCAGAACAGCCAGGCAACTCAGGGTGAAAGGAAAGGCCCGCTCTGGAGGAAGACTAAGAACAAAGGAGCCGATGACGATTAAAGCTTGATTGATCTGGTAAGTTGCTGAACCTGAATGTGACAGAATACGAAGCTGCGTGCCAATTCTTGTCGTGCGTAGCTGTCCGTGTCTTGCGACGGCAATGGCCGAGTCGATCGCTTAGTGATCCACCAGCATGTACATGTCAGCGCGTTGCCGGTCGAGACGACATACCGCAGCCGGAGAGCATCTCTGGCCAACCGCAGTTACGTCCGGTTCGCTTCTGCAGTTTGCGCTAGTTGATGCCTTTCCGTGTGCACAAACACCATTTCTTGTGAGATTGCTGGCGCCCACAACAGGCTCTTTTTGAAGACAAGCATGTGAGCCCGATGACGATTGAAGCTTGATTGATCTGGTAAGTTGCTGATCCCAAGTGAGGACGACTACCAAGCTGAGGGGCCAACGCTTCCTGTCAGCGTGTTGCCGGTCGAGACGACATGTTAGGATATCGCTGCCGGAGAACGTTTCTGCCGGATTCTTGCTCGAGCCCGTCCAGCCTCAGTTACGTCCTGTTCGCTTCTGCAGTTTGCGCCAGTTGATGCCTTTCCGTGTGCACAAACACCATTTCTTGTGAGATTGCTGGCGCCCACAACAGGCTCTTTTTGAAGACAAGCATGTGAGCCCGATGACGATTGAAGCTTGATTGATCTGGTAAGTTGCTGATCCCAAGTGAGGACGACTACCAAGCTGAGGGGCCAACGCTTGCCGTGAGTAGCTGTCCGTGGTTTGCGTGGCAGCGGCCGGTCCACCATCATGTTCCTGTCAGCGTGTTGCCGGTCGAGACGACATGTTAGGATATCGCTGCCGGAGAACGTTTCTGCCGGATTCTTGCTCGAGCCCGTCCAGCCTCAGTTACGTCCTGTTCGCTTCTGCAGTTTGCGCCAGTTGATGCCTTTCCGTGTGCACAAACACCATTTCTTGTGAGATTGCTGGCGCCCACAACAGGCTCTTTTTGAAGACAAGCATGTGAGCCCGATGACGATTGAAGCTTGATTGATCTGGTAAGTTGCTGATCCCAAGTGAGGACGACTACCAAGCTGAGGGGCCAACGCTTGCCGTGAGTAGCTGTCCGTGGTTTGCGTGGCAGCGGCCGGTCCACCATCATGTTCCTGTCAGCGTGTTGCCGGTCGAGACGACATGTTAGGATATCGCTGCCGGAGAACGTTTCTGCCGGATTCTTGCTCGAGCCCGTCCAGCCTCAGTTACGTCCTGTTCGCTTCTGCAGTTTGCGCTTGTTGATGCCTTTCCGTGTGCACAAACACCATTTCTTGTGAGATTGCTGGCGCCCACAACAGGCTCTTTTTGAAGACAAGCATGTGAGCCCGATGACGATTGAAGCTTGATTGATCTGGTAAGTTGCTGATCCCAAGTGAGGACGACTACCAAGCTGAGGGGCCAACGCTTGCCGTGAGTAGCTGTCCGTGGTTTGCGGGAGCAGTGGCCGAGACACTTTGTTTGTAGTCCAAGACACTGCCCTGGAGCCACAGTCACATGCCAACTTCACCCATCTGCCTTGTTGTAGACTTGTACGTGAGTATTGCGTCAGCCAGAGGTGTCTAGTCAAGTCCACTTTCGGCAGACTTCCCGAGTGTGTGCCTTCAATGTTTTGCTGACGGTTAGCTGCCAGGTGAACGTTAGAGCTGGCGTTGAGTACAATCGCTTCGTAATTCATGCATTGCAGGAGGCTTACAGATGCTTCCAAGACGTTCTCTGTCTGTTTGTGTTTTTTTTGCAGTTTGGCGGACATGACGGTCAGGTCCGGCTTGGGAGTGTCCAAGCAGGACATCCGAGCAAAGCTTGCAGCTTGGATGAAAAGGTTCACAGCGCATGTGGCATACCTCCCATAGATGTCTGCTTGATATTTGGAGCTGAGAGTTGAGAGGGACTGTGCCGCTGAAGCAGGTACCGTATGACATGAGATCGACGTTCCGGTCTCGGCCGGGATTGCATCGTGGACAGAGTTTGCTTTCCAAGTGGGAAGTCTGCATCCCTTCGTGGTGCACGCTGCCCAGGTTGCAGACGTGTGAGACAGTTCAGGCTTACATGGGATTCCCCTTCAGCTGCACGGCGGCATCCCAGTAAGTGCACGAGCGAGCTATCCGGAAAGTTCCATCGCATTTTGCCGCGTTCTTTTCATGGTTTGTCTTGGACATCATTTCTGCACCTGAGATGGGGCCGAAAATGCGGTGGTACCGGGCACCACGCCGGAGGTCTGCAAATAGCGGAAAGTTGATGAACTTGCTCGTATTCGTATGATGCTTGTTTTCTCAGACCATCCGGAACGTCTTTGGCCCGCTGACGTTTCCGAACGGCGGCCTCTTTCGAATTTGTTATTCGCCTGATGGAATTCAATGGCAGGTACGGGTTCTGTGACACACAAGTCTCTTCATCATCTGCGAAAACCGTCGGACATCTGGCATCCCCTGATCAGGAACTGGAACCGAGTATATCTGTTTTCGGTGCTGAAAGCACGACCAACAAGTTTTGGCCGCTTTGTCACGTTTCCATTAGTCAGGCATGTCCATTGAACACGGAATGCCAATCTGCGTGGCAGGTGTCCAGTCACTAGCCTGGCGCGGCAGTCCGCAGCCCAAGACATGCTCTGCGGCAACGAGAGTCGCAGTCATACCAGTCATAGAGTTGATGTCCTTTGAGCTCTTAGCCCATGATGGCTGAGGGAATGCAAGTTCGATCCCAGTATCACAGGGTGCGAGTGCACCGGCAAGGCATTTCGACGTTTGCACCTGGTGCTAGCACTAGGCTGTCCGCAGAGTCGCATTTCCTCCCCAGCCAGGTTCAAGGTTACAAAAGAAACAACATGACAGATGAGTTTATGCTTCTTGGAATGCCCGGAACTCGGAGGTTCGGGATATCAATCGAAGGGATTGCATGCAAGATGCCCTGCAGGCCAAACCCAGCGTACCCTCCATGGAGGTCCAGTCTGACTTATGTGAACCAGGCTGCATCCAGACACGAGCAGCCATTGAGTAGACAAGACGGAGCTTGAATGCCGCAGGCATGTGGAGGAGCTGTTGATGCTGCTCCCTTTGTCAACAAGGCCCTTCTATGGAATGTTCCGTGTTGCAGTGTTTGTCATTGCTCTTGAATGGATAGCAGATGACAACAAGTTTTGGGTGCAGAAGGTGTCCGATGTCAGCAATGAGATTGGCTTCGAGGCGCTAAGTCTTCGCTTGGGCCAGATGTGCATAGATGTGCATCAATCCAGACTTGGCTTGTGTCACAAGTTCTGTCGACACGCGATGCACGATCTTGATTGCTTGAGATCCACAACTTCGGGCTCATCAAAGATGGCTTCGGTCTTGGGGCACTGCACTGAGACGGCATGTTCGCTCTGCAGAATGACGCGGGTTTTGTGTTTGCTGGACAGCTCCAGGCACACTGCTGCTTTGCTCAAGCAGTAGTACTGACCGCAGAATCGCTTGCGAGAGCATCAGGATCCACACAGTTCTTTGAATTCAGACATACTATTCGGATTCAGCAATCATGCCCAATCATCCTGGTGTAAGCAGCTGAAGCAAAGCATGGATCTGAAGCAGCGTTATGAGTTTTCTATGCGGCATTGCCAAAGCACATTTTCCGAGCATGTTGTCGACACACTAGCGGCCGAGAGACATGGTGGCTCGGTTCCGTAAGAAGCTTTGGATGTTGGACCCTTACTTTCGTAGAAGCTTCAGGTTGCGAATTCTCAGGCCACTTGGCTCTCCGTTGCACGGCATGCCCGTGCACTGGGGCGGAGGTCATGCGCTGACACTTTGCAACTGGGAGGGTTGGTGCGGCAATGGCATCGATCCTGTGAGGCATGTGCGTTCGCAAGTAGGCCTAACGGAGATCAGGCGGGTGGCGGCAGCAGAATGGATGCCACACAGAGACACTCGGCTGCGGGTCTGCTCAGCTACCTGAACCCATGATTGCCTCTCACGACAAATCAAGGATGCTCGACTTTCCCGGCGCGGAGGCGGAGCCCAAGCGCAGAGCGAGAAAGAAATCTGTGGATCATTGGACGAGGCCTCGATGACGTAAGCGGAAAGCTTGAATTTCGTCTCAAAGCATCAGTTACAATCTTGAACAGGCGGAGTTCGAAAATGTTGGTGCTGAGCACCAGGGCCGCATCTTCAGACCCTGCTGTTTGCGTTTGCAACCGCTTTCTGGGTCGGAGTCGTGGTGCATGTTGTGCACAGGCACTGGGAAGACTCCAGGAGACGCTGGCAGCTTGCTCAGAGCAATATCTTTGTATGTGAATACATCGCTTTCGGAGCTTCAGGGCCTCACATGGCTCATTGGATTCCAGCGGAACATCAATCGCCTGGTCCATGCAGTTTCGCCCAGCTCGAAGTGGCTCTGCCCACCGACGTGGCATGGCGAAAAGTCATAGTCGGGGTGCGAAATTGCCAGAGCCTCCTGTGTCAAGTTTGTTTCTCCTCCAGCGTCAGGCTTCCATGCGGAGACTGTGAGTGAAAGCACATTGGCGCGTTTGTTCAAGGGAGAGCAGGCCAGGCCAGATGCCGCTTTGGCTTTGGCGAAAAGCCCAGGGCAATTTGGCTGTGCCGACAAGCCTCGATGACTCAGATGACTTGCGCCACCCCCTGCCTTGGCTCTCCGACTGGCAAAGAGGCGGCTTCTCGGATCAGTGAGTAGGCCAACGGCGAAGAGATGGGGATAAATTCTCATGCAGATATCCATGCAGATCCTGCAGGTGTAATCGAAGGGCACATGCTTGCAGGCCGAGCTCCGCATCCCTTTGCGCTTCGTGGTCGCAGCTGCGGATCGACGCTGGGCGGAGGCAGCGCTGCCTTTTTGCCACCGGGTACGCTCGTAAGCGGCTTTCTCTGCTTAGGACACCAAGGCCACAAAGAAGGGCCCGGGCCGGCGACGAGATGACCTCCGCCTGAAGTGAGCGGCGAGACAGAAAGAGTCTGTGCGAAAAAAACTGCATGCTTTGTTGCGTGTCAGGGTGCTGATATGAACAGGCTGTGACCTTCTTCCACCAAGGTTTGGAAAGTGTGCTATTGCGCTGGCTTTGATTTTGACAACGGTGCCGCTGATGGTGGTACGCCCGACCTGGTTTCGTACTGCGAGTACTAGAGTACAGACATGTGCAGACTGTCCGTTCCCTTTCAGAAGTGCTGCCGGCTACCGTCTTGGAACACAGGTGTCGTTACAGTCTGCTCCAATAACGCCAAGCTCTCAGTGCACATCGTTGGGAGGCTTCTTGATGTGTAGCGTCACAGTCAACATCCGAGCTCAGCGAGGCTCCGCAGGATTTTCCACAAGAGGTCGGGCTGATGATTGTGATCAACGTGCAGAGCTTGGCCTTTGCTAGACCACCAGAGCCAGCTTCTTTTCGTGTGTTTTATAGGATGTGTTGCAGGCACGGACGACGAACGGAGACTCCGATTCCGATTCCTGGTCCTACTGCACTGCTGCGGCTGCTGCTGCTGCCGCTGTTGCTGCTCCTGCTGCTGCTGCTGCTGCTGCTGCTACTCGTCGTCGTCGTACTGCGACGACGACTACCATCACCACGACTACAACCACTACCACTATCACTCACTCCCACCGCCACTGCCACTACCACGACCACCGCGACGACCACGACGACCAGACGACCACAACAACGACCACGACGACCACCATCACCACCGCGACGACGACTGCCACACACAGCCACCGCTACCCAGGATCCGCTACCTGCGACCCGCTACCCGCCACCCACCCAGCGTACAAAACGCAAGCAAGGGTCACATACAACAGGTTCAATCACAAGTACCAGGTTCAATCACAAGTACCTCAAACATAGTTTCGTCCCAAAATGAGAGGTAAGAAACCAAAGCTAGAACTGGAGTAGCCTCTCTGTTTCAGAGGGCGTGGCCACATGGATACTGTCTGCTAGCGGGTTTCCTACTGCGGTGACAGCGGCGGGCCTTCAACGGCAAGTGCTTTCGCATGCAGCAGATATGTCGATTTGGAGAGCTTGCAGCCTGTTGCCTGTTGCTCCCTGGCAAAGGTCCAGTCCTTGATGGGACAGGCAGGAAGTGTCCAGCCCTCGGACCGGGCAAACGATGCTGTTGCAAAAAGTTGGTGAAACCGCAGCGGCGACTCGGCGACTGGAACCGAGACCGACATCACAGTGTATCCCACTTTGCGATTTGGTTTGGTTATCAAGCCTTTCCCTGAGACATGGGCTCACTCCAGATCCTCGTAGCACGAACGCACCCTGCCGGAACTAAGTTGCGGCCACGATGGAGTTCAGAACAGAGAACCTGACTCCGTTTCGGGAGGATGCTCGGCACCGCGGACTTGCTTAGTGCAGGGCGGCGGGCGTCTGGCTCTTTGAGCTTCCACCATCACCTGCCAGACTGGCGACACTCCCCGCTACAAGATCATCCGCTCTTCTTCCGAGAGCTTCAAGGCAAGGCCGCGATCGGCTCGAGCAGACAGCTTGGAGAGTCGTTCTTGCACGTTCTTGCTTGTGCCAGCCCTACTACGACTCAGACGCCGGATGCGCGTGCCTTCGACCTTCATGGGAATGTGCTTGTTTCTGACTGGAAGAGCTGAGGCCGATTTCTGCCGCAGGCCGCAACAGCAACCGATGGGGCCCAGGTCTGCGACCAAGTCCGAGAGGTGGTCGATCAAACCGGATAGGAGGGGTAGAAATGGCGAGGTCTTGGGAGGACATTTGGGTCCCGCGAACTGTGAGGGGCCCTCGACTTGCGCGGGAGCCCAGTCACTGGGGACTGAGGGACTCGTCCACGGTCTGCAGATATTCCCAGAAAGAGTGGGTGTTGTCAGGCAATGACTTGCCAGAGGAAGTCATGAGCGGCAAAGCTCCAACCTTTCTTGATGTCCGGCACTTGCTATCTGCATCGGACTGCTCGGCTCCGGTCACACTTTCGTTGAGGTGCAAGTTGATGCCAGCTACGAGAATCGTGTGATGGTTGCCGCGACGTATGATGTGTGCTACTGTGACGAGAACTGTCTCAACAGTGCATACTGGTTCAAGGCGCCCAGCTTGTATCCCGTCATGTCTGGCATCACTATTCGTGTCTCCCAAAGTGCACACGGAGGCTGGTACGTTGGACGTGGAGCCTGTTGAAAGTCATTTCACGATCGCCAGCTCCTCGCGAGTCACCTTTGCCTGAGCCGGATTTTCTAACAGCTCAACCAAGGACTACACCACTGGCTCTTATGGCGAGCTGCCAGCCATTGTTAACACAGGCACCGCCTTACTACGAAGCGAATCGCAAAGGTGTTTTCGTAATCTTTTCACCAACTACGCCTGTTTACCAAAGATGCCACTCGTAAGCTTACGCAGTGTCATTGGAGCCATCATCGGACCTCCAGATCGGCAGGCCGATTGCTTGTGATCCTGGGAAAGGGCACGGATGAGTCACCTGTGCAGGGCAGTCCTTACCTGAGCGTGATTCTGCTACTCGCCCCTCGCGGGACACCCTGAATGCAGTCCGATAAGGCTGGAGTGGAGGCACCGATTCCAAGACGCGCGAGATGAAGTTCCTCAGGGATGATGCACGGGCCTTACAAGTAGCAGAACAGGTGTTGTTTTGTGGGGTTGACAGTGTCCGTCCATGTGTCCCAAGGACGGAAACGTGGACAAGGACTCTTGCCTCAACACAGAGCAACCTCTCGGCATCTCCGGACACCGCTTGGTGCTGGTCCTCAGTTTTGGCGGAAGAAATGTAGATGCATCGCTGTTGTGCTCCTTATGGCTTCGAACTTCCCAGATCAGCGGAAACACGGACTACACGGAACCACAGACCATCCTTGAGGCGCCGACGCACTGCCTGTGCTTGAAGCAAGCGGTTAGTGCTGTTTGACCGACCAAAAGTTGAAGTCTGCATGGCCACCTGCACGGATACCCTCGTCGATGCAGGCTGAAGATCCTGGCCGTCCTCGTGGACAGTTGTATGGATTAGTGTGCAACACCGCTGCACTTGCCCCAGGTGTTGCAGGCCTCGTCTACGCACTTGGGGCATGTTTAGCTGCTTTGGGTTCTACATTTGACAAGGTCCCACCGGTCTGTGCTGCCAACATCCGTATCTCTGTGTGGCCAGCTTGGCTTCCTCGTGATCAGTCATTTTCTGCTTGTTCTCGGTTGTTTTCTGTGTCCTGCTGCGCAAGGCCGGGCTGGTATGCTGTGTGCTACTGTGACTCCAATTGTTAACGCCTGAGCAGCCTGTTCGACTCGTCAAGCTTGGTCCAATGCCCAACATCAAGGCAACGAAGTCAGCAACTGGGCAGTGTTCGGACGTCGGCATCTTAGAAGCGAAGCGGAGCTTGTGTTGAGTCCTGCCTGCTTAGTAGCAATGGCAGGGTGTTGTTGGGGGCTGTGGGGTGCTACATTGACCTCAGCTGTCGAAGTTAGTGGAAGGAATGGAGACTAAACAATGCAAGCTCAGTCCACCCTTTGAGGCCTGTCGCTTGCTCTTACCCGTTTCTCACTGTCTTCCTTGTCCACACACTGAGTCAACAACAATAACTCGCTGCCCTTGACCACCTATTCAGTCATCCACATGCTCAATCGCTTGCTCAGTCTGTGTGCTGTCCCGCTCACTTGCAAGTGCCTACGCCCCTACTCAACTCAAGCGTCCCACGCTGACCCCGTGCAACATCTGCCCAACAACACGCAGAGCAGACTTGATGGCATCACCAGGACCAGATGGACGAAACCTTCAATGATTTTCTCACCTCGGCAAGGGCGAAGAATGGCAATTTGCAGACGCTCAGGTGAACTGATTGCAGGCCCTCTGGCCAGGCAAACGTGGACGAGGCACTGAGCTTCAGTGGGCGGGTGATATTCCTCTCTTCCGTGTGACGCATGCTGCTCTCACGAGACTTCGGACGGCTTGGCTGGTTCGAAGCTGGAAGGTATACAGGTGTCACCTTCAGCATTGACGTGGAGGGTTACGATCTGCAGGACACCAATCGAGTCTCATCCTGAGTCTGCTCATGACATCCAATTGAAAGCTTACAGGGCTTGTGCAGTCCAGGCAGAGGTGTCTTGCTTCTGTGCATAAACCGTGTTTTTCAGGCATTGATCCTGAGTACCTCTCAGCAGTCGGGGCCTATTCTTGTCCTCCCCAAGAAGAGTATGGGCATATGGACAAGCAAGCTGTGTGATGCAACAAAGGCCACAAGACTGCGGCAACGTGGCTCCAACTGGAAATGCCTTCGGTCCCGCCCGAAGCTCAAACGAAATCTTGGCCTCGCTCTGTTCATTGTCGGCAAAGGTCAGTCCTGCCGCGTAGGCTGCAGCAAAGTACAAGTGTTTCGCCACTCCTGCTCTCCGGATGTCATGAGGATCCCAGATCCGCTGTGCTCGCATGTCTGAGGTGGGGCAGGCGACCCTCCACACGCGTGAAACAACGAACTCCAGGATGTCAACGATGGTGCGGGGACCCCCCTACCCCCCTCCCCCGCCCCCTACGCCTCTTTCGAGTGTCGTCCTTTTGCTCAGATGTTAATTGGGAATGAAGAGCAGGCCTGGTCTGACATGGGCACCGAGATCTCCTTCGACAGGCGGGGATTCGGCGCTGCGCTGATCAGTTTTGCGTCTGTTCTGGGTTCAGGAGCCATGGCCTCAAGGATGGTGACCGAATTCGGTTGTCAGGACTGTGCTTCTTTGGGCATCCAGGAGGGCAGCTTCATTCACGGCTCCAGTTTTCATCAGTTTCCCAGTTTCATTGCTGTTTGTTCTCTGTCGTCGCGTGTTACGTTATGCTTGCACCGGGTAGGAGACGGCTGTATTGAAGGCACTCCCGAAAGCTGACCAGCAACGTGGGCTGAAGGTTGATTTGATTGGCATGCTGGTGTGGCACGTCTAGCTAATATGTGACGGTGGTTACAGACCCCAATCGCCTCCTGTCGATGCTTCGCCTTGCTGGAAGCTTGCTTGGGGGTCAGCGAGGAGTAAATCCGGACCCGACCGACACCAGTCTGCCTGCGCGAAACTTGGCACGGAACTCAGGCGGATTGAGCGAACGAACCAGATTATGACAAGTGCTGGCTCTTTGCCTTGTCTCAAGGCACTCAAACGTGCCGAGATGTACAACACAGTGCACGAGGCCCGTCAATATTGATTATGAGGCACGAAGGTGGAGCATTCTCCTGGTGTACGCCGCACGAAGCTTGAGTCTCCAGACTCACGCAGGTCCGGTATCAGTAATGAAGTCTGTCGAGACTTGGCTGCAGGTGTTCGTGTCTTGTGATGATGATGCTACATCGTGCCGCCAGCTGAGTTGCTTGAGTCCAGCCTCATGAAGCCGGGGTGAAAGATTGAATTTGCAGCCATTGGCCGTGCATCATCACGAGGCTGGAAGATATTGGTCCCGGTCAGATTCGCAGCCGCTGAGTTTCCCAACATCCCCAACGTACCGAGTGCAGGGTGAGAGTCTCAGTCCGATTTGGCACCAAGCTTGTGTTTGGACATGCACTTTCGAGGTGGTCTCGGACGTCTAAAGAGACCTTCAACAGGATCAAGGCTGGAGATTCTCATCGGCGAATGGCCGGGCTGTACCGTCGCTGTGAGAGGTGGCGGACGGTGCCCAGTCACCCGAAGGACGAGGTTATGTGGTGTGCTGGTCGCGAGCCCGGATTTGGAGAGCCAAGCTCGCAATGTTCGTATCGGGATTTTTGGGGTCTTTTGGTGGAAGTGCCGGTCCACTCTTATCTTGATCAAGAGGCTCTGCTCTCTCCCTCTTGCTGGAAAGCCGAGGTGCCACGACTGCGGCGCAGCGGCCACGAGCTTTAGCAGCTACGTGGGCCAGGCCGAAACTTGGCAGAGCGCACTCCTGGACCGTATGGGTTAAGGGGCCCAAAAAGATGGTGCATTCCTGAAAACCCTGATTGCGAGATCCTTACGTGGAGGGCCTCGGCTGTTGTGAGGCTGGCTCGATCACGGTGAAGATGCCGTCACACCGGCTTATGAGTTGCGCAGGGCTGGCACAGGGGCTGACAGTTTCTCCAAGCCAGGAACGCCATGCCAGAGGCATATTTGGGCTTGACGACTATCATGCCTGCAGCACCCTCAACTCAACATGGTAAGTGCTACTTTCTCGATATTGCAGTTCACCACAGGACCAGTCGCCGGGTCAAACGAATCCTGGAAGTCCGGTGGCCATCGCGTTCGTGACCGGCTGTTGTGATGACAAGTTTCTCGGTATCTCTTGACGGTGCATTCATTCAACAGGACCGGAGATGTTGCGCATTACGCAACCGCAACTGGTCCGCTTCCTATGGCTACGGCTAAATGTTTGCAGTTCTCCATAGCCTAGCACCGCTTGCAAGATCAAGGTCAGCAGCACCTGGTCTTTGAGATCATGCCAGGGCTGTTCAGCACTCAGAACATTTACATGGCAAGAAAGACCGTTTCCCTGTAGTGCGCTTGCTTTGCCAGGGACGACAGTATTGCTGGAAGTCCCGTGGTCCGAGCTTTCTTCCCAGTCCGTGAAAGCGTAGAGTCGTAGAGCACGAAGAGATAGCATTCCAGTCTTGCTGCCACGGTTTTCTGCACTATTGTGAGGAAGTGTTGCTTCCGCGAACCAATCTTCTGGAGGCAAGTGCTGTCCGTATTCCGTTGGCTGTGTTTGACATTCCGGGGTTGTCTTGACTCACCTTCCGTGGCTGTTTCTGCAGATTGAGAGTAGTGTGTGTGTACTCGCTGTGAGGGAGAAATGGGTCTGTGTTGCAGCCGGACAAAGTTGCCGCCCCACTTTGCAGTGAAGTATGCCGCAGCTTGTCCACCGATATATTGTGATGACTTGCAGGATACAGAACAGCTCCACCAGTCTTGCGAGTTTAACCGCTCGTTTGACAACAGTCTGTGGCTGTTCTCAAGAGCATGGCAGCCGCGGGAGAAGTCTGTCTGGGCAACACTGATGATAGTTCATGGCACAGTGGACCATTCAGGGGTTTATGCAGAGTTAGGTGAGTTCTTGGCGATGCAGGGAGTGGCCGTCTTTGCCTCTGACATGCGTGGCTGGGGTCGAAGTGATGGTGAAGCGCTGTATGTGGATAGTATCGACTCGTTCATGGGAGACATCCTGTCTGACTACCACCGCATTCATGGATCTGGCTCACCATATGCGCATGTTACATCGCGCTTTCTTCTTGGCAAGAGCATTGGAGGTTTGTTTGCGGCCTGGACAGCAGCACAGCACCGCGGCAAGTGGACCGGCTTGATTGGTTTGTCGGGCGCTTTTCAAATCGATCCCTCGGTAAAGCCGTCGGCTGCGGCTTTGACGCTCGTTCAGGCCATTGCCAGCTGCGCGCCGAAGCTTGGACTGAAACCGCCCTTCGACCCGAAGCTTATCGTGAGCGATTCGGGGGCCCTTGACGCCTGGGAGCAGGATCCCCTGGTGAGTCGTGGCAAGCCTCTTGGGCTGAAAGCGCAAAATCCCCGCAGCCCGTGCCCTCTGCCTCTCTGCTTCCCCTGGGGCCGATTGCTTTTGCATAGCTGTAGCAGCTCATTGTGGATCTGTGTCGAGGTTGACAGCGGGCTACATCCTGGAAATGCTTCGACTTCAGGAACTTCTTCCAGACCAGCTCACGCATCTTTCGATTCCGGTTCTCATGTTGTGGGGCACCGGCGACAAGGCTTCTTGTGCCGAAGCCTTTCTGTTTGTCGTTTTGTCAACGTGGGTGTCAAATTGATTGCTCATCGCTGAAAATCACGAAAAGAAATACCGGTCTCTTGTTGCATCCTTTTGCAATTTTTCCGGGCTGAGGTTGTCACAGAAGCCGGGCATACCTTGGTTTTGGAAGCATCCAAGTCTCCGGCATCACAGTTCTTGCGCTACCAAAGCGGATTTCACAACCTCCTCGCGGAGCCCAAACTCAAGGAGAGTGTCGCTCGCGATCTCTGCAAGTGGATGCGTCAGCTGTCAGTCTAGGAATGTACAGAGTTTTGGTCAAGCGAGTTCACCCAGAGAGGTGTGGCTTGTGCGAGCAGGTTTCAATAATGAGCGCTTGACATGGGTGGCTGCTTGCGGTGTGAATCTCGCACCGGCACTGCCGCCTGGCGCCCAGCCCCAGCCGAATTCTGTTGACGCGCTCAACCAGAATGGTGCCTCTGTTGGTGCAAAGAGCTGGCGTGCTTTGTGCAGAAAATGCTAGTTCGAACGGAAGCGGCTTGACCCCGTGCAAGTTTTGCACATGTTGGCCAATAAGAGGCTAAGCCATAGAACGCACGGAGTTGCGTGGGTTGCGTTGTCCCTGTGCCAGCCTCTCGTGCCGTCTGCCGACACCGATGAGCCCTCGGAGGCCGGTGCAGGTATTCGGCGCCTCCTAGTGTCCTTGCGTAGCACATCGGGCCTTCTGTTACTGTGTGGCCCCGCGGCGGAGGCTCGGCAAGACTTTTGCGGGAAGATCTTTATCGAACTATGGTCTGAGGACGGATGCTGTGCTTGACTCGTTCAACTTGTTGGATGAAGCCGTGCGTATCAAGGATCCTGATGGGTTTCCTATGCCGGATGGATGTTATTACAGTGAGGACATTGATTGCTTGCTTGCTGGTGCAGTTCGCCGTTCTGAGTTGCATCGTGCTTGTCAGGACGACACAGATCCAACCATGATAGTCAAGCAGTCGGGGCCATGGTGTCGTTGCATGATAAACAATAGCGAGCGGCGAAGGGCTGACATCGCCGAGGCTCCACATTCTCTTCAGTGAGAGGAACCACTTGAAGAAGAACACCAGGCAAGTTATCACGTGTTCAGTTTTTCTGTGAATAAACTGACTTTCACATTACTGGCAGCTTGTTGACATGTTGGCTTCTGAGCCATGTTCGAACTGGTGAATGCACAGTGCCTGGTAAGGTACATGGCCGTCACCAACATGAACGTCCTCGGGGAGCCTGTGCTTGTGCACAAGTGGTCTCACATGGATTCATACAGGCGCAGTTTCTGCAGGAGTTAAGATTTGATTTTCCAGCAGACGGAGCAGTCTGGGTTTGGTCCATGGACGATGTCGAGACCTTATAGCGATTTGCCTTCAAATTCACTTAGCATGTCGCAGCTGCGAAGCAGTCCGAAAAAGGCTTTCAACAACCCATTTGGCGTGATCGAGAAGGGTGCCGTGTTGCTTGCTCGTTTTCGCATGGCCTATGAAGGCATGTTTCAAAGCGCATCTGAAAGCATGTTTGCCAGTGCATCTCGTCGTTGAGCAGTCAGCCAGGCCTATCCCGCTCCGGAGACGCGGGTGCCACCCAGAGACACGCTCGGGGCAAGCAACTCAGATTGCCGAGATGTGTTCGGACACCTGTCAGATTCCATTTTTATCCCCGAGGACCCACAATTCAGCCAGGTAGGCGATCCTCGCCATCGCCTTGGGCATTCATCTACGCCCGTTCGAGCATGCGCCATCAGCAGTCACAGTTGCAGCTGATTGTGAATGCAAGGCTTTCATGACGAGGGTGCAATTCCCCGTGGATTCCGACTGCTCGGAACAAACGGTGCCCTCATCGAGGACATGTGCATGCCGTAAGCTCTTCCTGTTCCGGTACGTCCTCGGGTTCCGTGGCACTGCCAGGAGATGCTGACATTTTGCATACCGCATGATGAGCATGGAACTAAGCAGTGAGCCTCTTGCTTTTGAAACACGCTTTTGCTGGACTCTAAGGAAGAATCCCAGCGTGTCGCCCTCGATTGAGAATCAGTGCAAAGTCTGCTTCAGTGAAGAGGACGTTTATGGGGGAACAACGGGACTTGACAAAGCAGGAGCTCCAAACACTGAGCCCAGCTTCGATGCAGGAGTGTGGAAATGGAGGCAATGGTGTGCCGCCTGATCCATCACTGAGCCGGCACCTTGGCCACGGCGGTGGGACCAATCGGCCGACAAAGCACGACTGAGGATGCTCGTAGTCGTCGCAGTCGTAGCTTGAGATTCAGCATGCCTGAGCTCGCATCTCTCAGGCTTTTGCCGATCGCCAATTGATCTCAAATGCTCTCAAGCAAACGGCAACTTGCTGAACGTCTGGGCCCTGCAGAGCGCATGATTCGGACTGTGAGAGGGCTTTCGCATGCTTCCAAAGGGCAAAGGGGACAGGTTTCTTTCCATATAGTTTCGCGGCTTGGACTGCAGAGTGTGCGTAGAAGTAGCTGGACGGAAAGCTGGCTAGCGAACTTTTCTTGTTCCCAGTACCCAGTACAGAGTTGTCAGGTTGAGGAAACTGTTGTTCGGCAGATCTCTCAATACGACTTCTGCCTTGACTTGCTGTTTTAAGCCAGCTCATGAAGTTGCCAGCTAGCATTTATCCGCACGCCGGCTCCGTTTCGGTGTGTCGGGTTTAAAGGTCGAGCTGCACTGGGCACCTGCCTTTGCCAAAGCCGTGTAGCAAAATCCGGTCGTGGCCAGGTGCCAGCCTTTGCTTTCGAGTTGACGGCCAAGCTTGGTTACCCGATCACGCCGTGCCTTTGCATGATTATCGCGAGTGGCGGAAGCTACTTCACCAGGATTTCGTCGACCGCATTGAAGGAAAGCTGTGTTACAGGTAGGATAGTTTGGGCAGAGGGCCGCGGTGAGTCAGATCGATCGTCGGCTTGGTCCTGTACCCACCAGCTGCTCCCACTCTTTCCTTGTCTGGGGCTTGACGGAGCTCGCTGCTTGCAACTCTTCTACCTTGTATCATGGTCAACCGGTGCTTTCTTTCCTGCTTCTTCTCCCCCTTCACAAGGGTCGACATTGCCCGAAATGCAAGCGTTAGAGTTAGAGCCTTGAAACCGGTCCCGAAACCGAAAAACACCGAAGCAAGCTCCCAAACCCTAAGGCCGAACCAACAAGCAACAACCTCAGATGCCGACGCTAAACCTAAGCTCACCACTCGCAGGCAGTCCGTCCTCCGCCTCTGGCTCCATCCGCTCACTCAGTGGAATATTGGTCCCTCATGCCAGGCCTTGAACCATCCTCGTTTGCAGCGACACAGCGCCGGAATTTTGCGAGGTGGGCTTCTTTGCAGGAGGCTGTACCCCACCAGTTCCCGGGGGAACTTGTGGCGCGCTCGGATCCGGATCCCGCAGCCGTCAGCGTGAACCCTCACTACAGCGGTTTCAGGCTCCAGTCCGATTTGCCAGCCGGAGTCCGTGGTGGGTGGCCGGTTTCTTAGAGAGAGGGAGCTCGCTGCTCACCAGGACAGGAAGGGAACGGCTCCCGCCCCGGCTCTGCTTCGGCTCTGCGTCCCTCTTTGAGGTACGGTTGTGGGCATCGCCTCCTGGCCCATCAACACCTTGAGGCCGCTCTCGGGGGGCCACCTTGGGCCGCCTTGGCTGCTTTTCTCTGTGTTTCTGGGAGAGGATCATTCTCCCCAACATCATGGCTCAAATCACGGACACCATCTCCATGGCCATGGAGGCTTCTGCTCTGTGGGACTCGCTTTGCAAATGTCAGACTCGCCGCCTGCCAGATTGGAAACTTGCCACTACCTGCTGGCGGCTTCTTTCCGTCGGTGGTCACTGCTGAGCCCCAACCCTACTTCGTAGGGTCAAGCTCGAAGCTCGGGCTTGGCCAACCTTGGGTGTAGACACGACTGTCAAGGATCACGAAAGATGATGGATTTGCCCCCGACTACTGGGATATCCCAAAGGCTTGGCTTGACTCGTTGCCAGATCTGTTTGCCGTTTTCGTGTGACTCTTGGAAGGCGCTTGCAGTTGCTACGGTCCAGGGTGGAAGCGACCAAGCTGACATACTTATGTCATACCTTTCACACTGACTCTGCATCGTTGGCTCGTTGCAAAAGGTGCGCGTCTCTACAAGAGGCCACAGATTCTGGCGGCGTCGCTTGTGTCGAAGGTTCGCATCTCGTGTCGACAAGGGTTGAAAGGCCATGGTTTGGAATGTGGAAGATATGGTTGTGTCATTGCAAAGGTTGGCGACGGGAATCAGGCCCCCTTCAAAGCTGACAATGGCAACAGGAGCTCAAGCATGATTCGATGCTCTGATGACTATAAAAGTTGAGTTTGGCTCCCTGCGCATGCACATGGCAGGATCTACGCCCGCCTAGTGTTCGGAACCACGTTCTATGGATTTGGCAACTTGGTGACGCGCCTAGCTGCCAGGGTGGTAGTCAAGAAGAAACATGGGTTGCAGACCACAGACGCATTGGGCTGCAGTATCCAGGTGGAGATTAACTTCAAGCTTCCAGTCGGTCTGGCACTTATCGCATAATAAGACCACGTAGTTGCGCGACCTCTGCGACATACGATCAAGGTTACGCATGCTCAATGACGCAGCAGGGTGGCACTGCTCGACACTCAGAACCCACCAGTTTGAAAGATGACTTGAAGCGCCGAGGCAAATCGATGCGTCAGTCGAATTCTGCTCTTACAGAGTCCAGGTCCCCGATTTGGAACTTCTGGAAAACATGTTCCCATCCACGAAGGGTCGGTTGGCTCGCTGCTCAGCGCCAGCAAGAAAAGATTGCACCTGTTTCTTGCACCTGTTCGGATCCTCCGTCTCAGGGCGGCAAACTGACTGAAGTCCGATATCGGAACATACCAGCTTGGACCTTACGAGGGAGGTGCTGGCACCGTCTGAAGCATGGTTTCATATTCGCCGATTTGCGAGTGTATATTGGCTTTCTCGGGACAACTTGCGAGTGTCGTAGACTGTCGGTACAGTCATGGCCATGCCGTGGAGCGCGATGGGCCACATGTTGCCACCAAGAGTTCAAACTTCCAGGCGACGCCCGACGTTATGTGCCAGCTCACTCTCTTGGCTGCTCCGCTCTTACACCGCCTTCGGACGGAGCAGTCTGTTGCATCAGTTAGCTGTCAGCTGCTACAAGGACATGATTGTCTATGCCAGAACTGCATCGGCCTCAGCCTCTGAGTTGGCTATGCATGACTTTCGACCGTGTGAAGGTGTACTTCGTCGAACTGGTTGTTGACAATCCGACGGCAGCTCTCAAGAGAGATGCGACTTGTCTCAACCAGCATCGCATCATCGATGCCACGTAATTTTTGTCGGGCGGAGCGTTCCTCGAGATGTGTGACCTGTGCTTTGCTTCTTGATCTTCTAGGATCGGTTCTAGACAAAGGCAACAGGACAACTAGAAGAACAAGCGGGGCAGGATCAGGGTACGCCCAGGACCCGACCAACACATGGTCTGTGGGAGTAGTCCACGGTGGCTTCAATCCCGCGGAAGTCATTCAGGACGCCGTAGTCTTGTGGGGGAACATCGCAGCAGCAGTTGCCGCCGATTTGGTAGGACAAAGCTCTCTCAGCCCAGCAGCTTTCGTTCTGCCCAGCCCCGCGGCAAACGTTGTTTTGCTTGCAGCATCCTCAGACAACTATATTTCTCAAAGCCCGCGGCTCCATGCCACGCCGACACTTGAGGGAAGATTTGGGAAACAACTACGCTGGTTCGCTCTCTGTGCTTGGCAAGCTGACAGACTTCTTCATTGCGTCATGCCCCTGGTAAGGGTAGACTTCCAGCCGGGCTCTTGAATGCGTTGATGTTGGCAAGGCCGTCTCAGTACGGTGTGGGGCAGCTGAACGCCTTGTCAGTCTTCTTCATGACCGAGCAAGAGGCGGAGATTCACAGCTGCGGAGAAACAGCAGCGATGTCAGACTCACAAACGTCAGGTGGGCTCGTTGACCAGCGTGGAGACGGAGATTTGGGCGACCCGGCCAAAGTCCATTTCATAGCAAGAGCAGAGGCCGCATCCCAGCTTCGCACGGTTCGTGCAGCTAGGCATCGGTGTCGCTTTACAAAGCCCGCAAGTGAATGACTACTTCTGTCGGCGTCGGCGCATAAGGTTGATGCGCCATCTGGCTTTGATTTCGGCATGCCTCGAAGCTGCAGTTATGGCATGGATTGGCAGTTAGCCGGTGGCGCTGAAGCTGGTTGGACGGGTTGCCGCTCGCAGACCCGCGTAGTGGCCCTGATGTGCCACCGTCAGCATGGCCTGCGTCGACAGAGGTATTGTTCAGCCGCTCCGCTCGACTCGATTTACTACATTCCGGAAGGTCGTGGCACTGTCGCGTGCTCAGCCATGTTTGCAACGGAGCCAAGAGCATCGCAGAGAGATTGTTTGACCAGTCGCCACTACCGACCGGAGACCTCATCCCGTGTGTTGGTGCTCCAACTTCGTTGGGGCCCAAGGGCAGCATCAATCTACCCAGATCGCATGTTGTGCACTTGTGTGACTTTGCAGGGAATCCGAGCTGACCTACAATCGGGCGAAGCTCTCAACAACAGGCCGTTTGTTGAGGCTGGGCAGAGCCGTAGCACGGCGTTTGATGCTCGATTTGTGACGGATTTTCGCTTGCTGGCAAGGCAAACCTTCTATGGCTTTCAAGTCCAAGTCCAAAACGCCGCGATCTACGTCCGAACCCAGCTCGACGAATGGTCCGCTGCTTAAGCCCCTTCCAGGTTTTCGTGTTTGAGCGTGACCTGGCATTGCAACCAGGCGTCTCTGGACATATGTCAAAGCAACCGGCTATGGAGTTGATGGTACCTACGAAACAGCTCGAGTCAATGAGCGTGTGCCGTGCTCAGCATTTACTCTTTCTCGCTTGCTTAGGGGCTTTCCATGCCAGACAAATTTCAAAGGTGCCAGCAGGGCCAGACACGAGCTGGGGCATGTACCTGCAGGGCATGCCGACTGCGCTGCAAGCTGAGAGCTCGAGTGACTGCGTAGTGAAGACGACCTGGGCGTCCGGCAGAAGTTGCTGTCTCGCACCCAGGAACTTCCAGGTGGCCTTCTCTACATCGCGACCAACTGTGTCAGGGGATCCGGCCTCGGGCTAGTCGTGTCGTCAGACAGCAACAGATGTGATGTGACTGGAAGGTTCCTCCAGCAGACATCACTGTCCTTCCCATCATTGTGTCGTTTCCCACCACCCGGGCTGCTGGGCTGAATTGCAGACAATGTGTCAATCTCTTTCGTCAAATCACTTTGCATACAGCCATTCACACTTTCGCACATGGCAGCAACGTCTCAGAATGCCAAAGGCCATCCGAGTCACGGCACCTGCCGGCTACGAGTGGGACTTTGATCAGGTGGACTTTCGGCAAGGGCCTTTCTAGAAGTGTTTGCAGAGAAGCGCAAGGGTTGCTTTCTTCAACTTGTGTTGGCAAGGTATCAGGCGCCGGGTGTCGGAGTAAATCCTCTCAACGTGGTCGAAGGAGCAGAGGCTCTTGGTATGTTTCTATGGTCGAAACTTCGAGAAGCCGAAACACCCGAAGGCTGATATTCCAATCAGCGGCAAGCCTGCGCGTCCGAACTCAGAGCCGAAAAACGCACGCACCTTGGTTTGCTGGGTGTTCTGTATCAGTTCTACACGGACCCGGAGTTGTTACACTTTGGTACGGCATTCTTGAGCAGGTTCTGACGATGGCCGATCTGCCACTTTTTATTGAATCTGAATCCCAGTTTACCACAGGAAAGCGACCGTCTCACGCCAGGACTACATGCAGCTGCCATGGACGCCCTGAGCTGAAGCCATGCCGAACTGCACAATTTGCATAGCCTGGTTGTTCATGCTTACGTTCGGGTACACTCATGCGTGGAGACATCAGGTAAATATGCCCATGTTCGATTGTCTTGTCTGTCTGTCTGTCTGTCTGTCTGGCTGGCGGTATGCCTGTCTGTTCGCCTGTTTGTCTGCCTGGATGACTGACTCGCTGGCTGGCTGGATGTAGGTCCTGGTATGTAGGTTCGTAGGCATGTAGGTGTGCTTAAATGTACCGCTACGCATGTACGTGCTGGATACACAACGTCACATATGTGCACCAGATACAGTATAGATACCGAAAATTGCGAGATAGCTCAGCACAGCATCAAGCAACACATCGGAACACAAGCACGAGGTTAGGTCAGTCTTTCCAAAGTTCGCAATCGTGCTCCCCACCCCAAGTGCCGCACGGATTTTGGGGTGCGACTCGTCGTCCCGCCACGGTCCCATGCGTGTCGGCTTAGTGCGAAGTCGTGCTCCCGCCACAGGTCCGTGGATATTTTAGCCTTTGGCTCGTGTTTCCTGCATGGCACGCCCAGTTCTGGAGCAATGTGACGATGTGCCTGAACCACATGCCCGTGTGCCCGAAGACAGGAATCATTTCTGCTTTTGGGACAACTGGTGCTGTGCACAGTCTGGCCCAGCCTCTCTCAATGCTGGTTCGACCTTTGAGCAGTCTGTCTGAGTCTGGGACCGTTCGGGGCTTGAGTGTGTCGCCGTGTTCGGCCGGAATGTGTGTTGGGCAGCGCCTGTCCTTCTTAGTTGACGGGTTGTGGCCTTGAAAGTGTAACACATTTGGTGCTAGCTCTGCGAAGTCTGCAAGATTTGCGGCTTTTGGCGCAACTTAAAGCAGAGTGATACAGGTTCAGAGTTCAATCACTCGGGAGGGACGGCCTGCGAGCAGGCAAGGGGGACGAACTTTCAAAGCGATTGCTGTAAGGTTTTGATATTCGAACACTCAGGGAGAAAGCGTTGCACATCATACAGCGATGATGCATCTTGGTGGAGTGCTCCCAACTACAGTAACTACAGGTGGACGGGCGATGACGTCTCGGAGCCACCGAGATGCCTCACTTGCTGCCTCGCTCGCTCACTTGCATCGCGTATGTATGAATGCATCGGCGTGCATATGCCTGACATGTATGTAATTACATGTCTTTGTATATGTATATGCATGCGCATGTGTATGTGTATGATTTGGTATGTTCATGTGTTCTATAGCACGTGGCTTCCCAGGCCTGGCGTTATCTATGGCTTCGCTTGCAAGATCAGGATTCCCATGGCCGGGAAGTCAGGAAAACGACATCAATAAATCCCTACTTTTGGGCGCATGCGCCGCCTGAGGTTCCCCCAACTGGCTCGGCCAACCAGTTCACAATCGAGTTCGGATACAACGAGGTCCGGTCTACTTTCTGCTACGATTTCTTTTGGTTCCGCTCGTAGCGTCGCAGGACCTGTTGGCCAATCGGTTGGAAGCTGGCACAGCTGCTGCTCCTGTCGTCCAGCGCCTGATCAATGGCGCCGGTGTCTTACGGCTGTTGCAGCCTGTTTGACAGTTTGCATGGAATCGTAACGAAGGCCACTTGATCATCCGCAGGCCATCACCTACACAACCAGCATTATGAACATGCCGGTGGACATTACCTTTACCTTGCGCACCGTCACGCAGCACGCTCAGCTTTTTGTTGAGAAAATCGGATTTGGAAAGAGCCCAGAAATCTGAAACGAAAGCTCATCAGCCGAAGGGTCCGAAGCTCCTGCCTGGCAGGACCATACCGGAAGGTGGAGGGCTGGTGATCATCGGGCCCAGCACTCAGAGCTACTGCGATGCAAACCCTTCACCTGATCTCCATTTTGCGCCAGGCCTCCAAACTTTGTGTTCCAGCAGTTCTGCCAACCGAAACCTGCCTCCAGCTCGCCGGAGCGGATTTGAAACTTGCATGACCTGTTGTGACTGTCTGCACATGGATCGCAAATTCAACTGCTGCCACTTGGTGCAGGAACTGCCCTACGATTCCACTTGTCTTTATGCACAAATCACTGCCACCGGGCAGCCGAGGGCGTCCTGGATACAATTAGCGACAAGTTTCTCCTTCTTCTCTGTGCAGATGACGAGCAGCCACAAGTATGTAGAACAGCAAAGAAGCCAAGATCTCCATCATCGCCGGCCCAGAAGGGATCCCTGGCCTGACCTACAAGCTGCCTGCCTTATACAGTGGCTACAGCATGAGTGCGTGTCGCGTTTTGCCGCGGTGCTCTTTGTGAGGTTTGCTCTCGCGGCAACCAACCCGCCACAGGTCGGATGGTGTCCTTTGATCATTCATGCTGTGCCCCGCGATTCTGCGTGCCTGAAGGCGGTGCCCCTAGACCAAGCTGGCATCTGGACGCTACTTTCGTATAGCCTGGCAAGAGCCCCGGGTTTTCTCGGAGACAAGTGAAGAATTGCCAGCATGAAAGTGGTCTCAGATCAGCGAAGAGATTGTCCTGGACCAGAACACTACAATTCCGGGCTATGCGGTCGCACGTCCGATGGCCGTGTTCTAAAGAAGCGTGCTCAACTGGTTTCCGGTTGTTTGCGCCACGCTCTTTATTCCGAGGTGTCTGCTGGACTAGTCATGCATCCACGAGTTGATTGTACTTTCACAACGTTGGAGGAGTGACCGGCCTGGCCGGCAGAAATCGGCTGCAATGAATCCCTGACAGGAGAGAGCCATAGATGCAACGCTGCCAGAGACGTTCTGTGATTTCGAGCATTGGCAGTTCTACCCCCCTAGGCCGGAGCGGCAACTGCTGATGCCCGGACACGTCACTGCTTTGACTAGACATGATGCAAGGGGTTATCGTGATGATCGACCGAACCGTGAGATTCCCGGATGTGCAGTCGGCTTCTATTCGGTGCTCTGGCTTGGCAATCAGCTAAGAAGCGTGTTCTGCCCTCAGGACCTACACAGCTGATCTTCAAGATGCAGCCATGAGCTCAAGTGCTTGCTAAAGCAACGTAGTGGCAGCAACGGATGATCCGTTGCCCTGGCATCTGACAGAAACTAAGGCTCGGAACGCAGGTGGACGTCACCAGTGTGATGACAGTGCGCGTGCGCCGCTGAAACGACTCGCATGACTTGTCGAGTGCAAACGTCTCCTGCTGGCTGCAGGCTCCGGAGGGCTATGTCTTTGACGCTGAATGCCGTCAGCTCCTGAGGAGTTCGCGGGTCACGGGGCCGTGTCTGCGAGCCGTTGCGAGCATGTGCGGCCCTGCCGAGGTGTTGTCACCAAGCCTTCCTCGCGGATATTCAACGACTCGGCGGTGGCTCGGTTGACCGCCATGGAGCTGGCAGATTCAATCCAGCATCCGTTGCAGAAGTGCTAAGTGCCACGGAATCGAAGGCTATCCTCAAGAGATTCCATGTTTCTGATTGGAAGCGCTCGAGTTTAGGTGGAAGGCCAAGGTGATTTTTTCTTTGCCTTGTTTTGGCCGTGTCGTCCTTTTCGATGGATCAGGAGTTTCAAGATAACGGAAAAGTAGTTAACTAATGTTAAATGTGGCATTCAACGAGGTCTCGGCGTTGGTAGATGACAAGCTGGCTGTGGCGGTGAGCTGTTTATCAAGCCGTGCACATTAAATTGCTCTGCGCAGAAGCTCCGCCTCGGGACAATCGGCCCGGCATCAAAACTTATGCGTGTTTATCTGTTGAAGAGAGAATCGTCTGTGGCCAGACCGTGCCAAGCTGATGCTTGGTGGCTCTGCTCTGCTCGCTCTGCCAGTAGAGATCGTCGACACTAGTCCTGCTTTGTTTGAAATTGGAAACTGCATAAGTCACAGCGACGTAGACATAGTTAGGCTAGTCCAAAGCTTGCATCTCAGGTGGACGGAGTCTTGCCTGCTGTGCAGCGATCCAAGACTTGCCTGATTGAGAACGCAGAACGCACCTCCTTCAAACAATGTGCTCAGACCGGCCAATGTCCCGCTTGATCCGGGGCTTCCTTACACGGCTGGGCTCTTTGAATTGTTGAGCCTGTGGATCTGCTGTACTCAATATGCACGGCTTTAGGATGTTTCCAAACGATGCTGTGGATTTTGGTTTCAACGGTTCTCGTGCTGATGTGAGAATCTGGTTTAGCGGCGGTTCAGCACTTCGGGCCCAGGTCCGAGGATACGCTCAGCGATACAAGCGGCAGACTGAGCAGAAAGAGCACCTTCCCTCTTCTTGCCACACCAACTAGAGTTGCAGATCTGTGCGTCTCAGTACCTGGCCGGATGCCGTCGACACCCAAAGCTGCCTCGGCCGGGAGAACGAGGCGCACACACAAGATGAAACCCATCCATGCCGTGCATGAGGCCGAAGGAGTCATGTTTCTCAGTTCCGTGTCTGCAAGGCTCGGATCACCTGGACAGCAGGTCTCGCACTCTTCAACACATATCTGTCCACTGCCCAGAAAATGGGTTTCGGTTCTATCATATCAAGTGATGACCTTGGACGTTTGATGCAAGGTTTCGACTGTCAGTGCTTCGCAATCCTCCAGTGACTCCCGTCCGGGCCTGTTGCCATGAAGTCTTCTTGCACTCGTGACACCAGATGTCTGCAGGAGTACAACTATTTCTTGTTGGAGTACAACGGTGAGGCTTGGCAGCTGAGGTTGCTCCTCGAAAGCTTGAAAACTTTGAGTTGTTGCGAGGCTTCGGAACCTTTTCCGGGCATAGATATTTGGGTCCGGCACCTGAGACTGTCGGCAGCATGTTGGCAGACATGATAGACTCATTCTGAGGCCTTTATGAACACCACCATCATTCCTACCACCACAGCTGCATCTCGTTCAGACTACCAGACGCCGAACGAGGCACCGTTCTGCTGTGATCGAGGAACCACTGAGAAGCCAAACATATCTGCAGCTGGGACAATGTCCCATAGGCATAGACTCGGGTGCGAAGACTCCTGTGTTGTGCGAGCGGTTGCTTTAAGCAGCAGATCTGGTTCTGACATGTCTAAGCCTGACCCGGAATATGACAGTCACTGCACGCCTGCACGCTCGAGCTTTTCCCATTTGAGTTCGCCTTGAAGGTGACAATACAGCTTCGCCCGGTCAACACGGTTCCAAACGGAGGCCATCTGAGGCGCCAGTGCCCTCACTGTGTACAGTTCTTCCGCGCAGTCACTGGCAAGAGCACACCTCTCGAAACAGTCCGTATCCGATCTTGTACCCGTGACAGTGACACTCCAAGTCAGGGTGACCGCGCCCAGTGGCTTCCTGGTGCCCACGGTTTGCGTCATGTCATTGAAGCTTGGCCTTTGGCACTCAGCTCCGTTCCTGCCTACCGGACGGGGCTGTGGGACGGTTAGGGATGAAGATGGCTTCAAGCTTCAAGGATTTCAACATGTGCCTCTGTCCTGCTCTATGCTCTTCAGCCGAGGAGGGTGCATGAGTCGGAAATGCGCCTCGGTGCATATTCAGTGAGGTTTCAAGGTAGCAGAGTTGGGAGCAGCGATGCTGCCACTGCGGCTAGAACAGGGGTGGCATTGTGTGGTGTGGTGCTTATCAGGCCCAACATCTCAGCGTTTGCTCCGGGCCCTGAGCGTGCAGGGTTCCAAGCTGTGCCAAGCGGCTGACTGTTTTGCAGCGTTCTGTTCTGCCCACAGTGACATGGCAAGGCTCAGCTGCTACAGTGGGCCGAATTTCTGCTGCCTGGCCTTGAATCGCCTGTTAGGGGCACACTCTGCGCACGGCTCCTCGCTACTCTGCGATGCGGTCACCCTGACGTCCAAGGCCTAGTCACTTGGTGTGTCAGGGCGATCAGACCCCATCCAGCCGTGGCAGGTGCAGATGCAGGGCTTTGTCAGGGGTGCTCACAAGTGTGAGTTTAAGTCATCTACGACGTGCTCTTCGCAGGCTACTGCTGACGCAGGACATGAAGTACCTGAGAAAGGGTGTACTTTACGTCTTGACGCTGGAGGCGGGCTTGGCCGTTTGCTGCTTGCTTGCTGCCGGATCAACATGGGCAGAGCACCATGCGCGTTGGAGGTCTCAAATCCGCAGACGACATCAGCGACCCCGGAAGACTGGCATGTGCAATCGTATGAAGACTTGCAGTCACCTCAGCACACGTCGGTCTGACACACAAGAAGTGTCTGTGCGTGTGAGTTGTCACGAGTCCAAGGACGGTCAACAATATCATTGACGAGAGTTATATCCCTGGGTTTATCATCAACACGGCAGTTCAGGAGCTGTGGCTGGAGTATGTCTGTGATGAGAGCTTGAGTCTTGATGCGCTGCAACCCACGCGACGCTTTGAAGAGCCTGCCAGTCGTTTGCATACCTGGCCCCGGAGTCCACCAATGCGTTGATCAAACACAGGCCGGCGGTTTGACAAGAGTTACCTACCCGAACGGCCGTCCATGGCATCCGCATTGCTGGAAAAGCCATTTGCACACTCCTTCGCCATGGTGCTCTTTCGTGTTGATCGAGCAGCAACGGTAACGACCACGTCTAGTTGGAGGGCTGGGTCATTTTGCGGGTAGCTCTGCAAAGCGAGTCTTGGGTCAGTTGTTAGCTGAACAGTTGTTCAACTTGCTCGATGCTAGAGTGAGGATGTTGCTGGAATCGCAACGTGACTGAGGCTGGACTTCAACATGTCATTCCCAGACATTGTCGCCGCGATCTCAGAGCTTTCGGGCATTCACAGGGGCACGTGTATGGCTTGTTAAGATGTACGTCCAGGCCATTGGGGACCGCCTTCAAATTGTGGCCCCTGTGTCCTACATGTTCAGCGAACCGGGTGATCGCCAGAAGCCCGTCGTCCGTGCCAGCTTGATCTCCTGACGCGCTTGTGTGCCACGCATGTCTGCGTGCTTTAGGCCGTTGCCCCCAGTACGTCTTCCTGGATGGTGCAATGACGAAGACAGTACCAAGCTGCAGTGCCACAGCCAAGTCGAGGATGAATCTCTTGGTGGGTGTTTCTGCACCACTGCGCTGCTTTTTTTTGCACAGGTGCCAACACTATAAACTGGCATCTTATGGATGAGCCTTTCTCTCAGCGAAAGTCGCAGTGGGGGGGAGATACTTGTTTAGAAAGCTTCAAGGCCGAGGCCGTCTCGGCTCAAAGCGCGACGTCGCTTCGTTGCCTCCTCCTCCCTGCAGAGAGTGCATGCGACCCGCCGGCGAGTGCAGATACCCCACATGGCAAGTGGAAAGCCCGGACAGACTGGTGTCGTTTCACTGTGCTCTCTCACGGGATCGACGTCTTTAGGTAGGGCGGGAGCGTCCAGGTGAATCACGCCTTTGAGTGCGCCTCGGACGGCATCCGCCTCGGTCCTTCAAGGGGCACATCTGGAGGACGGAGGCCTTGTGAAAGCTAAAGCGGTGGCTGTTTCCGAAAAAGCTCTATTATTGGTTTGGTTCTGCTCCGGGACTGTTGGGATGAGGGCTTGTGTGTGGGGTGTTCTCGGAACTTCTCGTTTGAAGATACTAAACCTTTGCAGAACAGTGGCATTGGGATCGGTGGTGCTTGACATGTAGGGCCCCGCCCTCCAATTCGGCATTTGGCTGCGCCGACCCTCCATGTCGGCCTGCAAGACAAGATGATCTCACCGTTCCCTGCGAAAGCCCGTGGAGCTGCACAAACATTGCGAGATGTCATAAGACATGCAGTGTGTGCTCGGTCACCAGTCATGGTCTTCAAGAGTGAACTGGGCAAGGCCTAGAATGTGTCCAACATCAACCCGATAGTTCGGTGCCATTGGCAAAAGTCCATAAGAGTCCTGTCGCTGAGTGTTGTTCCTTCCGAAGGAGCTAATCTTTCATCCATGCCGTGTATTGCTCCTTAGCGAACGTTGGCAAAAGCATTCGCCAAGGCCGCCGCGAAGGTTTCTGGCTCGTCATCACATCTCACTGTCTCACCTCTCGACACGCTGTTGTCGTCGTCGCCGATCGGCGCTCATTGGGTTCGGTTGATTCTTGGAGGGCTTTCGCGCAGCACCGTTGCCCTACCTACTTCACCCAACCCAGCATGCCACTCCTTGTCCTCACCTTCAAGATGTTCTTCTCTTTTTCGTCGGCCTCTCCTCCTTCGGGCTCCGTGATCTGGAGAGCTCGCTCCAGCAGCTCGCCCGGCCTCGCGCGAATTGGGTGCGAGTCGTCCCGCTCTTTCACGGGACCATCCGGTCTTTGGCCTTCGCCTCGGACGCGACGTTTTCTTCGCTTTGTCCTTACTGCGCTGCGATGGATTTCGACAAGATTTCCAGGAGGGGTGTCCATGCCCATCTTGTCTCGGCCTGCCCGGGTCCCCGGGCTGCCGGCACAGACACCCAGGGATGCCGTTCGCATTCGTCGTCTCCACCGTCGACTTCAGCCGTCCGTTCCGGGCTGCAGCTGCTTATAATGGTGGCAGGCCTTCTGAGACGATCAACGTTTTGACGGCATTGATCGTAGGGCCGGCCAAACTGCGTGGGACCTTGCCTTCACGTGGCTTTTCGACGGGTTGAGCTCGCACTACATGGCCTTCCACTGATAGTGCTTTTGGCTATTCTGAGTTCGTGTTTGGCTTGGGGATGGGTACCAGGAGCAGGCGTTTTCGGTTTAGCCTGGGGCGGCCTTTCACAAGTTTCCGAGGCGGCGCTCACTAGGAGAGACCTGGTGGTCTTTCCTTCCGCTGCCTTGGGCATTTATACGGTAAACGTATTGGCCAGCCAAAGATGCGAGTACGAGCCGCGAAGCACCAGGCTACAAAACTGGAGCCTGAGGACTTGGTTGAAATTGCTACCCTCCTCTGGGAACGCAAAGATTTGGCCCTTTTGCGAACCCGCCTTTGGGGCTCGCTAAATCGGATGACGCTGGCCAGACTTTGTAGAGCGTATACCTCCTGTTGGAATCATACCTTTTTCTAAGTAGTCGCGTGGAGCCACGCCCACCCCCAAGAAAACCCGGGCCGGGGACCCGAACCCGGACCGGACCCACAACCCGGAACCGGGTACCCGGGGCCCGGGAACCCGGAGTAGAAAACCGGGGCGGGGGCCGATCTCCAAAACCCGGAACCTGGGACCCGAAACCCGGAACTCGTGACGCGGGACCCGCGCACCCGGAACGGAAACGCGACCCGGAATGGCACCGTTAATGCCGCGCCTGGCCCGGGGCCCGGGCCCTTCAGAGTTGGTAAGGATGAAATCACAGCTCCCATGCCGTTGCTCGTACCATTTCTTGCTATAGGATGAACTATGTGCAACTAGTGTGGACTGCTCGATCTTTTCCCGGCTGATATCTCACCTCGCCGCTGTGGCTGGCTTCGCCCAGCGGGGATTCACACGGAGCTCTTTCGGCGGTGGAAGAAATGATGGGGCGAACTTCCGATTAGGAAACAGTGAGCAGATTCTTCTGAATCCCATGCCTGACATGTCGACACATGGGTCGGACGGAGCGAAACTAACGACGTCGCCATGGGTGTGTGTGTATATATATATATATGTTACCATATATATATATATGTATATATATATATATATATATATATATAGATGCGGTAAGCTTTATGCAAAGCAAGCGCTGAGATGCCGAGACTGATGCGAGTGGCTTCAGTGGCAAACGTCGTGAAGAGTCATACCTTGCAAGCTTCTGAATGCCAGGAAGAACCAACCCAAAGACTGGTGGATACTTCCTCAGCTCAATCTCCTGCTTGCTGTTTCGATTTCAATTTCGGCGCCGAGTTGCTTGACTCTCAAGTCAAGTCGTGGTGTTCCCACAATGCTGTGCTTTGTGGCCGCCCGCTTTGATGAGGTTTCCTGCCACAGTGGTACACCGAGCTCGGATGCAAATAGAACATGGTTCAGATCTTTGAGCCACTTGGACGTCTTGGAGGGAGCAATGTCGGCAGGATGAAGTGTCGCCTGTTGCTGGCTGCATGGTGGCAAAGCAGGATCCAAGCTCAATGCAAACTTCTTCCTGGTGGGTATGCTGGTCGCAGTGACCTTGGCACGACTGGCACCAAGTCTGGCAAAGAGCCATGGCCTACTGCACGTGGATACTTTCAGAGTCTCTGCAGCAGTTCTACAGACCAGGTCAACCACGACCAAGATTAAGGTATCGGCAGAGCATGGTCGTTACCTGGGAATGTTTGTCGAAGTAGCTCTTGGTCAGAGCATCCATGCAGTGTGGATTTGCATCCCGCCCAACTGGAATCCCCATGCGCTCTCGTCATTTTCAGCCGGCAGAGGACCTCTGCAAGAGCTTGCAAGGTAACGTCCACTCGGACCCGATCCGTTCCCACGGAGCATCCATGCCCGAACAGTGATAATGTCCACCGACCCATGTATGCTCGCAGAGCATGACTGCCCGAACCGTGATAACGTCCATGCCGACCCCATCTATCCCTGCAAAGCATCCATGCCCGAACCGTGATAAAGTCCACTCCGACCCCATGCGTGCCTGCAGAGCATCCAGGCCGATCCCGATCCTTGGGGCTTCGACTTCCATTGAAAGGGATTGTGTCGGGATGGATTTGTTTTTAGCAAAAAACGATCCTAAAATAAAGCGAGTTTCACTCTTGGCAAGGAGCTTTGCGTATGGTATTTCACAGCAGTCTGTGCTTTCCGTACAACAAGCAGTATCATAAACTGCGGATAGACGCCCGGGCGCGGCGTGGAGTTGGGTTTCGACTTCCACGGCTGCAGTCCCACAGTCCGATCTCGGAGAGTGCAGGGAGCGACTGCTCTGAGGTGACTATGCCGTGGCCGTCATTTTCCTCTTGTCCGGCTTCAGCCTGAAGTTGAGTGAGATGCAGAAAGCAGCTCTGGACTTCCGCTTGAACCTGCTTACGCAGACGTTTCTTGGCCCCTAACGGAGTAGGACTAGGAGTTTCGCTTTTTGTGTCAAGAATCACTCAGGTTGTCCATGGGACTGATGCTCGGCTGTTGCAGACATTCGCCGATCTGTCGTCTGCAGTGTCTCGACGATGTGAACTGCCATCCGAGGATTCCGCTGTTGGCCTATCCCTTGGTGCAGCTTGCTCACCGTGGTAATTGGCTTCGTGGACAATTGCTCGATGGCCTGATGATTACGGTACCAGGGCCGAAACTGCGAGTGATAGACATGCAGAATCATGCAGAGAGAATGTGTGACCTTTCTTCTTTAAGTGGGTCTGTGTGCGAGAGAAGGAAGGCACGATGATACTTGTGGTTCCCCACACCCTCAACCCAAGAGCGATGCAAAAGATCCAGAGGAGAGCCCCGAATCCGATCGCTCAGCCGGTGATCGAGCCTGTCCAAAGCACAGTACCAAGCCCCACGGCGAGAACGAGGGAGACAAACAGGAAATACTATTGCCTAATCGAGGCTTGCTTGCCGACGACTGTGAACATGCGCGCTGGCTGCAAGTTGATGTAGTATCACAGGGATTCGTAGACATAGGGTATCGTGTCGGTGCATAGGCTTGCGGCTCATCGAGAGATGCCCGCTGGACAGGTGTGTTCTCTTGGCGAAGTCTGCAGGACTGCTCCTGGGCACGTGGCCTGAGATGTTGCCAGGAGTCAGAGCTTTTCTCGAGGAGCCAACACTGCGGTTGCTTTGACCAATGCCATCCTTGGAAACCTGTTAGGTGACTCGGCGTACCGGCTCGTCTCGGGTAGCTTTCTGCAGTATCTTGAGAGTTCAAGGAGTTTGTGTGACTCCCGCACTGCTGCTCGTCACACTCGGCACAAGAGAGCCTCGGAGCAGAAAAGTGTTGCAGCTTCCGGAGCAGCGTAAGAGTTTCGCTTCAGCATTGTCGGATCTTTCCAGACCAGCATCCAGCTGGGGCCGGCCGTGCGGAAACTTGGCATCAAGGCCCCCATGTGGCAGAGTGCAGCCCGAGCTTCGAACCGTGACCGGTGTGTGTGGGAGGTGCTCGTGCCGGTGGTGATTGGCCAGCTTCTTCGAAACTCCGCTGCTTTGCAGCGATTTCACGCCAAGAACGGTGCGGCCTTCAAGAAGCTTTCGGAAACCCAGCCGCAGAACAGACATGATGACATCCGCTTCCCCCAGCTCGGGGCACTGCTCGGGGTGCCAAGGAGTGTCTTTTGCTTCTGATTGTCTGGAATGCCTTCAGCAATGCCTTCGCAGCCGGCCTCGGGCGCTTTGGTTGCACGGGTCTTAGCTGAGCCGCAGTGGACGGGCTGTTTCTCAGGGTGGGTGGCAAAGAGCTGGCAGTCCTTGGAGTGCTGATGCCCGCGTTGCACTTCGGTGCCCTCACGGGCTTCATCAAGACCCTGGGCAGTTCAGCATGTGCCCGACGTCCAGAAGTATGTTCCGAGACTCGTCTGCGGAATGTTTTTGCATGTGTAATGTGCGTTTGGCAAGGATCTTGACATGGATCGGGACAAGCCCGGCGGATGCAGTCGCAGCGTCTTTTGCAGCCTCCCGGACTCGCAAACGGAGCGTTTCTGACGAGCTTCCGCACGACCGGGGCTTCATTTGTCGTGGCTGTTGGCTGATGCTCACATCTCAGGCAAGTCAGAAGACTCTCGCCTTCGGACTGCCTCTGATCAAGACGATCTTTGAAGGAAGTTCGTGTCCCAGAGTGACGGTGTGTGATGCCTACGATCTGTTGGCTGTGCGTGCCTTCCCATCAGATGCGAACCTTGCATATTTCTGCGCGCCAATAATGCTGCTACATCCGATGCAGCTGACCCTGGTCTGCACTGCGATTAGATTGTGGTCTGATCGGGGTTGGTGCAATCACAAACCAGCTGTTTCGGGCAGTGAGTGTCCTCGAGATTTGAGTTGGATTAACCGAGTTCGGCTGAATTGAAGAGAGTTTCAAGTAGCTTTGGCATAGTTCGCAGCATGTTCTGCTCGGGCCGGGGCTGAGGATGATAGGTGCTGCCATGCTTCCTCGCTTGAAGCAGTACTTGGGCGAGCAGTCGGCAGGTCAGGCCTGAGCAAACGCTGAGCAGAAAAAAGGTGAAGAACTGCACTCGGTATTCGCCCGCAAAAAGCAAGGGCTTCCTCTTTCTTCGGAATCAGCTCACGAGTTTCAGGTCCATCCCAGCTCAGAGTCCGGTTCGCTTCATGGTCCAAGTGCAGTGAGCAAGTCATGTTTGAGTCGTGAGTTGTCGGTTCCCTCCTGTGAAGCACATGATTCCAGTGCCGTGCCAGGAATCCGCCACAGACGCCGGTCATCAACCTTTTCCAAGTGCGCCAGATGGACGCAAACGGGACTGTTAAGCCTGAGGCCCAGGAAACCATGCTGCTACAAGGATGCCAATAGCTTCAACAGCCAAAGCTGCGCAAGGACTTCCCGAATGATATCGGGCTATGAGATCGTCCCAGAACTCGTCAATCCCATGGTGCGTCAGGCATTTCCGCGGGTTGCACTGCACGCTGTTTCTATCCCAGAGTCCGCAACTGGCGAAGGATCCCGCCATTTTCCCGTGCCGGATCGACGTGAACCTGGTGACCGGCTTGTCGGGTTCTCATCGGATGTCGGAGATTTTTTGATCGTTTGACTCCGCTTGTGCTTCTGCTCTAGCGGCCTTCTCCCACGTCAGGCCCTGTGAGGGCACGGGCTCCTTCTCTGCGGCGGTGATCAGCTTCACCGCCTCCAGAAGTCGGGCCCCAAGACCTCCTTTTTCATCCTTTTTCTCAGAGCAAAAGCCGAACCGAAAGGTGCGGAGCTGGTGTCCATGCAAGCCCACGTTCTTTCCTCAGCCTCTTGTTTGTGGCTTCGTGTGCCTTGAGCCTTGGGTGCTGTGCTTTTCTCACACCAACGCCCCCTTGCCCGCAGGTGAACGGCGAGTCTTATGATTTCACAAATGCCGCCGGCTCAACCGGAGACATCACGAGCACAGGTTGCTTTGGTTCCGAATGCCCAGGCTCGGTTCGGAGATGGAATTGACGGCCCCATCGTTGTGTATGGCAGAGACGAGAAGGTCGAGCGTCTCGAGTAGATTGCCCGACTGAGTCTTGAGGGACACCTAGCGTGGGAATTCCTGTTGCAGATTGTTGTCGTGGAGATGATGGTGCACAACGGCCGCGCTCCCAAGAACGCCTGCAATGCATGTCGATTGCATGGAGAGATGGCTCCCAGAAGCGTACGGATTCCAAACGCGATCCGCGCGTGGACGGAGAAGGGAGGGCACTGCCGATGGAGAGAAGACATTTTTCTCTGCTGTCTGAGGTGTTCAAGCAAGCATCACCGTTCACAACGTGCGCAATCCGATGACGCAATTTCCTCGGTCTGCTCACAGCAGCTGCTGGGTTTCGTCAAACTCGGCTAGTTGGTGATCTTCTGTCAGGCCCGGCATTTCCAAATGGAGCGCTCGCTCCTCAGTTTCGGATGTTGGAGGGAGAAACAGAGTTCTTCCGGTCGGGCGAGGAGGTAGACGGTAGACGGTACGTCGGTTTTCGGTACGGTTCGACGTGTTTCTTTTCACGAAGCCGTGACATGCGCGAAAAGTCTGCCCAGGTGACGACGTACGTCAAGGGACCAATTCCTGGAGTTCCGTGTCACCGGCGAGTTTGTCAAAAATGGTCGTAATCGGAGCTTGCTGCACATGCAAGCTGACAGGACGACAACTACTGTAATGCCAGTCGTGGCGCTCGAGCCTAAGGTCTTTGGAATCACGAACTGCCACATCTCCTGTTGTGTCGCCCAAGGTGTTCTACAACAGGAGGGGTATGTGGAATGTTCCCACAAACAGAAGCAAGACGAGATGAAAAGTATCAGCCTCAGGTTGCAGTTTGGCTGTCGAGGGTTTTTGAGTCCCCGTGCACAACCTACCAGCCAAACAAACCAACCAACAAGCACGAGCGAGCGAGGCAGACCAACGAACGTATGCACGAACGAACAGACGGCGGGCAGCCTCGCGCACAGACACACAGCGACACACAGGGACACACAGGGACACAGAGTGACACAGAGACACACACACACACACACAAACACAGGCGCTCAAACACCAACACAGACCCAGACACACACAAACACACAGCTCACTCACTCACGCAGACCCACTCGCTCACTCAGACTCAGGCTCACGCACTCACTCACCCATGCATCCCCTCACTCACTCACTTACTCACTCACTCACTCACTCACTCGCACATACACACTTAGACATCCATCGCGCAGCCACTAATCAATCTGGTTATCAAGCACAGCTTGATGTATCTCGAAAGCATGAAGCTTCCAGGGGGTCCGGTACCTATCTGGCCTCAAGGCTCATCTTCACTTGATCTCTGACTTTTCCACTGTACAAGGCAAAATCTCCCAGACATGCACATGAAACTGCACTGCACTCCTACTCGCAATCAACAGTTGTGTGGTCACAAGCTGCACGAAAGTGCCCATGCCGACCACTGCAGGTACGTTTACCTGTCTCAATATCACGGAGCTTCGTTGGCAGAGGCCGTGAAATGAGACCCTCTGCCCCCTGCAATTTTCTGTAATTCAGCACAACTGTCCAACGTGTTTCAAAAACGGTTCCTCTTGGTAACAGAGGTCCACACACACAGTAAGCCACTAAGGCGAAACGACCTAGGGTCTGGACTCCAAACGAGGACGGTTTTCGTCCGAATATGGCTCAGCCCAGTGAAAGGTCAATGGTACTGTGTTGTTGACAGTACTGAGTTTGACGTAGTATGGTAAATGAGTCCCGCTTTGCGTGAGTTTAAACGCACGCTTGGGGATGCGACTCCACTCCAAACTGATAGCCTCTTTAAGGTCGTCGATAATGCCTTCGGCCGGAATGTCGAAACATGCAACGGCGGCACCATGGTGGCGGCCGTCAGAAGGCAAATTTTCAATCCAAAATCCTCGGGTCATCCGCAGCGGAGGCAGATGTTTCGGTGTCCGAGGGAGAATAAGTGGATCATCATCTTTACCGCCATCGGGTGGAAGCGACGCTTGTGCTGCATCTCGTTTCATGGCGGATAAAGCTACACATACACTGGGTCGCTGATGAGTGGGAGCAGGAAAACTGTACAGGCAAATGCTCTCACTGTATGCAGGACAGAAAAAATGTAAGTCAGGTCACAAGGTCATGCCAAGAATCACTGGTAGTTTTTCCCAGCAAGTGACATGTAATCCTGTACACGTCCGGTGTCCAAATCAAAATAAGAATCAAACGTTTCGGTTGGGACACTGTGCAACATACCAAAAATGGCAAGCACAACGGAGGTTGGCTCTGACCAGCATTTTTGCACAAGCCTTCGACCGTGCTGCAGGATTTCGGTGAAACTGCATCGGATCCCCAAGTGTGATATCACTCGCTTCAGAGGGAACGGGCGAACGCTCAGGTTTGTCCTTCTTGGACTTCATGGACTTCTGAGACTTGTTTGGTGACCGGTCCTTTTTCAGCCTTTTGGACTTCTTGGACTTCTTGGTCTTCTTGCACTTGCTGGAGGCCTTCTTAACCCAAGACGCCACCTCTGTGGGTGCCGAGTCTTTGGGAGGATCAAAAGCCGAAGACCAGGAGCTAGCATCATCAGGAAGTTCATCATATGGTACCCCGTGGTCTTGACGGGAAGCCATGCCGGTGGGTCGAGTAATCAAGACGGAAACGGCTGGCGGCACCACATGAGTAAAAAAGGAAAACACGCCTTCGGCTCAACGAGAGACAGAGATAAGGGGAGAGAGAAAAGGCGAAAAAGACATAAAACTGAGCGTCACGCTCATACGCGTTGTTTTGCAATGCGCAAAGACGGTTCCACTTTAGTGGTGCAGGCGCTCTAATCCGGTAATGATGAAAGTCCCAAAAATGTCAATTGGGAAAACGAATTAAGCAGACGAGTCGTCTGCTGTTCCAGCATGACAAAAGCTCTCACGGTGATGCATCTCGCTTGCGTTTTCGGGGTGACAAAGAATTGGCGCTCTCAGTAGGGAGGTTCAAGTCCACCGAAGAAGTGGTCTGAGAAGCTTGGTGCCACTGATTGTCAGCAGCCAAACGGTCCGAAATCCAGCGAGAAGTGGCGGGAAACCAAGATTTCCACCACGTTTCATTGCCACTGGGTCCTTGAATTTTGACCCAATAAAATCGCCACGAAACAGTCGGAGAACGCGATCGGGATCGATCCGACATGGCGTGTACCGCTGAAAGCCGAACGCTGGAACTGAACAGAGCGATTTAAAAAACCTAAGCGAACACATTGCATGCAAGACTCTTCTGCATATACATTCTGTATTGCAACAGTCTTTTTTCATGCATGACAGACTCCATGAATCTTAAGCCTCTCTCTGTACATCGGATACCGGTAAAGCTTCGGTGCTTCGTACAGAGTACTCCAAGCCCGGCCAGCTGACTCCCCAATCCTGTCCTTCCCCCGTTTCAAAAGTAATCGGCCGGGGATTGTTGGGGGTGGACATCGGCAACGTAATGGAGTGGGTGCTTGACAAAATCCAAATTTTGTCAATGCGCCCTGCGGCTTCACGTACCGCCCAGCGCTTATCTCCTGAAGGGGAGTGTACAAGTGGGTGGAACTTGCACAAGTGTCCTTCATGTACAGTACTGGAGGATTTGGATTTGTGATGCGCAGATCCAAGATATCCTCCAACGACCACTCCTGCGGAATTCTTCGTGGAGTGGTGCAGTTTTGACACGAAGTCTAACTTGCTCTCTTCATAGTACACGTTTTGTGTGGCTTTGCCATAAAAGGAGCACACATGATCGTGCGGCGCCACATGTACAGCTTCGGCGCTAGAGCGAATGACCCTGCCCAACGTGAGGATGCCGACCAGGCCTTCGGCCGTGGTCCCGTGTCCCCAAAGATAATAGCAGTTGGTCTGCTCTTCAGGTCCTGGCATATGTGCCACTGGAAACTCCCAAACATGCAATGCTTCTTGGGGCATGGCATACGCCTTGGCATCATGCTGAAAAATTGCCTTATATGGTATCTTGCTGGCCAAAATGGACCGGGCAAGAGTGACAATCTCCCGTTGGCCAATAGGAATCACAGGCAGAAAAGGTCGGTCTGCCTGGCCAAATCGGGTCAACAAAAATTTCAGCACATCCTCAACATCCTCTTTGAGGATTTTGGAAACTGGCAATGAACGTTGCCGAGTAAAAGTGATGCGATCAGTGAATCTTCGCATATGAGAATGTGGGATAATAGGCCACGTATGCAAGCCTTCAGTTGTGAGAAAATTCTCATGATAATGCAAAACAAAGAACATATACGCCAAGAGAGAACTCATTCCCTCCTCATAGAAATCGACAGCATTGCGGCCTTTGGCTCGAGCTGTGATTTGCTCTCGCAGTTGTTCATAGCTGCTGCGATGAGCAGCATGAAATAGCTGTTCCTCATCAACAGAAATCAAACCGGATTGAGCAGGAGGAACTGGGCTCTTTGGAGCCGGATTCTTGGGAGGTGTCTTGGGCGACGTGTTCTTGTGAAACTCCGGTGAGACAGCTGCCGCGACAGGCTCCTTGTTCTCCAAAATCGGGCCTGTCTCCGGTTTGCTTTGTGCATTGCCGGGAGCTCTAAAAGCTTGAGCAGCTTGATGTAATGCATCAGTAGCTGCTTGAGAATGCGAAGCAGGAGCTTGAACTCTGGGTGTTACGGGCTTTTGGCTCAGATTCCCAGCAGGAACACTAGGTACCCATTGCCCCGGCGGTCGCTGTGGACTGTTGCTGGGCCCTTTGTTTTCATGAGGCCGAGAACGGACAGAAGCCGGCTCAATAGATCTCGGTCTAGGCCGGGGTGGCATGTTTTCTAAGCTGGCCGAACGAAAAGGTGGGCGCATCGGAGGAAGAGCACTGACCGACCTTGTTGGTGGTCGAGTAGGAGGCTGAGGGGGAGGCAGAACTGGTCGAACTGGGGCCGCGGGAGGTCCCTCAGGGTGACGTTCATGCCGATGATGTCGACGCCGTCGTCGTCTCGAGCGACTGCGATCATGACGCTCACGGCTGGGGTGAGTAGACTTGGCCGGCTCCCCCGGTGTGAGTTGAATTGGAAGCGGAGCTCGAGGTGGTGGGTGTACCGAAACCGACCGAGCTCTGCTAGCTTCCTGAGGAGTCGAAAGAATTGTAACCGGAGGTTGCGGTCCGCTTGAAGTCTGCACTCCAGGGGGTCCTCCGTAGAAGTGAAAATGGTATTGCTGGGCCATGGCTCTGGGTTGAAATATTCCTCCAACAGGCCGATATCCAGCTGAAAACCAATGCAGCTATGGTACTGAATCAGTAGCTCACGTGCACAATTAGGGACAAAAGCATTGCAAAGAGGCAGCGAAACTCTCAATCGACAGACTTATTTGCTGACTTCATTGCAACGCATTCACAGGAAAACCTGCCTGTACATACAGTTGCTTGAGTCTGCGAAGTTGTCCCGGTCTTGACTCGGGGGGCCAGGAGTACTGGCGAATCAAAGATGCTCGAGAAAAGTATCCCGAGGCTGCCAGCTGCCACGATCCAGCGCTGTTGGGCGAGCGGATCTGCCATGGTTGCTCCGGGAGATTAAAAGTTGCTGAGCGAGTCTTGGCGCAAATGGTAAAACCCAACCATTGATGGTCTGACACAGTTTCCAACTGAATCCCATCATAAAAGTTAGGATCGCAGAATCTCCGGAGTTGGGACGACAGTAGAATTTTCTGAGGTCCCAGAATCAGTCTGTTATCGACGTAACGGAGAAACAAGAAAGACGATTGGATGGCCGTCGGCAAAGATTGCAAAAACTGCCGCTCGGCCAGGAGTACAGGAAGTCCGGAGAGGATCGGCGATATTTGATTGCCTATACACGTCCCCTCCACTTGCTGCCTGCACTTTCCAGCAGCTGTAAAAACTCCCGTGGCGAAGGATAGATCCACAATCAGCGGAACATCAGAAACCCAACACCTCTTTAAGTTTGATTTCGTTCTCCCCCGAGGTTTGCCCGGGTGTCCCGTTTTTGACAACATATCGATCGAGAGGATCGAACAGCCAGAAGTTTGGCAGTATTCTTGGACAATCAAATGCACTGCGTGCATGATGTCTTTTCGGGGAACTGCATTGAAAAATCCCACGAGATCGTCGTTCCATTCGACGTCTTCCTCTTGGCTGGGCTTCGCCCAATAAGCATGAAGAGACCTCCAGAGCTGTGGCATGCTCTGCATGCCTGGGCTGTCAGCAAACAGCGTCTTGACCATTAAGGTTAACGCAATGGAGGTCAGCTCCAATAGCTTGCTGCACAACGAATTGGAATACGAAATGATGGTCCGTCCCTTGGCAAACTGTTTCTTCCGTTTCAGGAACACAGTGCCTTGAGGCAGCGGAGCTGTTTCTTTGAAGGCCCAGGCGTATCTTCTGGACAGATCTCGAGGAACGCGCTCCAAAATGCGCTGTCTCCATTCTTCAGGGGTACCATCAAGAGTACGAAACACAGAGGGATCGTTCCATGTGGTGCTAACTCCTCGAAGGAAGAAGCGAGGACAATAGCACACGACATGATTCGGATGATGATCTTCGTTGTACAGAACAAAATCTGAGTGCAAGGCAGACTTCACCTTCTGTACCAAAGCCCAGTGTAGTCTGTCTGATTGTTCCAGGGCTGCAACATGTTGCTGCCACTGGTGGTCACAAAAGGATTGAAAAATTGGATGCAACGTCGCTGGTAGCTTGTGTCTCTTGAGCCACTGATCAAACAGAGCTCTGGACTTGGCCATCCAGTGATTGCGGCCTGGGAAAAAGGTGCTCGCGGCACTGGCCGATAAGATGCTCGAACAGCCTGGTAGTAGCTTGGTCAGGTTCTCCAAACCTGTGGCTCGTGGCCAGACACGAAGCAATGAGCAGGAAGTTTTCCTGCAAACTGCTCACACGGACAGTGCACCGACTCCAAATCAAAGTCGTGCTCCCACATCGTTTCTTCCCAAGATCGGAAGTTGTGGAGAAATTTCTTGATACTCTGGTGCGGAACTTCACGTAGGCTGTTCTTTGGAACATGAAAAGATGGAAAAAGATACTTGTACCGGAGGATGAGGTCTTTTAACCACTTCTCGCACTCCTTGGAAAACGAAGGAGACGCAGTTGGCAGGACTCCCAAAGGTCGGGAAGTCCGTGGCCAGTGCATCTTCTTGCGAAACTTGGCTACACCTTTGAGTATTCCTTGCACCCTGTTGCGATGAGGGTTTTCGATATTGCGACTGAGTTTGATGAGGGCATACACTTCCTCGTCAGCCGTCTTGTTGGATCGGAGCAGCTTCGCTGTTTCAAAGGATGCTCGGGTTCTCGATGCCAGCTTAAACAGAAGCCCCCAGGCTAACTCCCGAGAGTCATGAATGAAGAATTTCGAACTGCGACCAAACATGCGCTTTCGCAGTTTGCGCCAAAGTCGGAGGCCAAAGGTGCAATACAATGACCCTCTGCGTTTGGACGAAATTCGGAAACCGAGAGCGGTCTTCTTAATGAGAGACATTGCTCTGGGATAATTCAAAGGTGCCTGCCATTGAGCAATGAGTTCGTGCTCAACAGTCCAAGCTCGCTGGTAGCTGTCACAAAATTCCAGCGGAACAAGCACAAACTGGAAAAGGTTGTGTTGGGATGCCCAATATCTCAGGGACAATTCTGCATCCACAAATTCGGTTCTTTGAAGTCTTCTGTAGACTGCCATGCGGTTCAAATGCCGCTTGGCTGCACCGACAGCAGTGCTTCCCACATACAGAAGTGATGAGGGCTGACGGTAGCCCGAACGAAATCGACCCATGTCGAAATCAACTTGAAAAATGCAATATACAGTGTTCGGCTTCTCAAACAGAGAATAATGCAGAGTATCTGGATCCACTCCGAACTGCTGCAATCTCCGAACAATCTTGAATCTGTGTGAATCATCCTGGCTGGGTGCATTAAGGTAAAACAACAACACCAACGACATCAATGTATGCACCCAAATCAGCGGAGTCTTGGGTATTCCATCGCCAAACTCCAACATGAAAGCTGCTGCTGTACCAAGCGTGCACACTGCTGAAGCAAGCCTCTTACGGACCTGAATCGGCTGATGTTGCACCGTTTTTGCTTAGGTAGCTAGTCAAGCTGATTCAAACTGACATGCACCAATGAACGAAGACAAATTGGTGAATGACATCTTGCTGGCATGGCTTTTCTTCAAGCCGTACTTGATAGCGAGATCTGCCAGGCTTTGCCGATCAGTGGCTGAATCTTTCAGCACAGAGCAAACATCAGCCACATGTTTCTTAAAAGCTGCAGCTTGACCACGAAACTGGCTCTGATGCTTCTTGAGCCATTTTTCAACAACATCAGGGGAGCTGGAACTCGGAACAGAGTTCGGCGGATTCGGGAGTTCCGCATTCAAAATCTGCTCAGCTGACGGTGAAGGTGAAGCGGTGGGCTTTGGGCCAGTTTTGGCCTGCTTCTTCTCTGGAGTAAGAGCAATCCCAGCTTCCTTCAACTTTCGCTTCGCACGAGCAAGCTGTTCACTCTCAGGCGATTGCTGGCTTGAATCCGCCGGGGGAGGCGAATTGGCTTTGATTGTTGAAACAATTTCGCCAAGCAATGGTTGCATAAATCTCGCAGACTCCCTGTGCTTGTCAGGCGGAGCTGGGCCGTGCATATTTGCTGCCACGGCATCAAGATCAATCCGGTCTTGCCGAGTGTGACGAAGCAGGTTAGTCACAAACACTGCTTCTGAAATCGACCTCACGAATACTAAGCTCTGAAATTCTCCATTGGACAAACAGCGGAGACTGAAGTCATCAAGACCTTTTCTCGTCAGGTCTGAGACACGAAGATCGGCGACATCTTTTCCAGCCAGTCCAGCTTTCGTAGACCAGGGCGTGGATTGGATGTTACGAAAGAACTTCTTGCCAGAAATAGCATTCTTGTCGTAACACTCCCAGTCACTGGTAAAAGACGATGGGATGGCAACATTGGTGCTGGGAACAGACTGTTGAGGGGATTTTTGCCAGTCACGGTTGTTCCAACCCGACGATCCTTTCTTCTCCCAAGACGAACTAGCCCAGGACGACTTGGCCCAATCTTGTTCACGGGTCCACGACATGATCGCAAAAGATTGCTACAGGCTTGTGTCTCGGAGCTGAAATCGTGGTCTGCGGATAGAAAAGCCGTTGGTTCCATCGGATCTGCAAAAATTCAGGACCTGCAATGAAACCTGGCATCAAGCCTGACATTAAGTCAGGAGCAGAGAAAACATCGCGACTGAAGTAATCAGATGTCTGCACCATCGGAGCAGCAAATTCAGTCGGACCTGTGAGGACCACGACGGGCCCAAAACAATGTATCCCTGCCTTTATCAGATCCACCCTGGCAGGTACTCGCACGGGCTAACCCCGCCGCAGGTAGCGCGGTAAACGAATACAAGACCAGCTTGTAACTACCTGGGACACACTCGCGCAGCCACTAATCAATCTGGTTATCAAGCACAGCTTGATGTATCTCGAAAGCATGAAGCTTCCAGGGGGTCCGGTACCTATCTGGCCTCAAGGCTCATCTTCACTTGATCTCTGACTTTTCCACTGTACAAGGCAAAATCTCCCAGACATGCACATGAAACTGCACTGCACTCCTACTCGCAATCAACAGTTGTGTGGTCACAAGCTGCACGAAAGTGCCCATGCCGACCACTGCAGGTACGTTTACCTGTCTCAATATCACGGAGCTTCGTTGGCAGAGGCCGTGAAATGAGACCCTCTGCCCCCTGCAATTTTCTGTAATTCAGCACAACTGTCCAACGTGTTTCAAAAACGGTTCCTCTTGGTAACAGAGGTCCACACACACACACACTCTCTCGCTCTCTCTCTGTCTCTCTCTCTCTCTCTCTCTCTTTCTCTCTCTCTCTCTCGTCATGGAGACTCTCTCCCTCTCTCTCTCTCTCTCTCTCCCGCGTCATGGAGATATGTGCAAAGATGTGTTCGGGTCGTTGATGAGGCTCGACCTTGACGGCATGGCTGTGCTCGGATATATCAGCCTCAGCCTTTCTCTGGCGAGAGCAGTGCATGACAAGTTGATGTGACATTCATCCAAAATCCCACGGTACTGTGCCAAGTGCTAGCAGAGAGACGAGGTGCACTTTCGAACTCGTTCATAAATCCCATCTATTATGGTGTGTCTGCAGCCCAGTCTGAATTTTACGCTGTTGTGATTAATGCGCAGAGATGGTTGTGTCCTCCAGGAACGATGCCCTGGTGACGTTCGAGTTGCGTGGGGTGCACCGTGCAGAAAGTTACATGTGTACTTGCTATCGCCATCTTCCTGGCTTGGTCTTGCTTTTGTCTGCTTGATGGCGTGACAGGAGACGCCACATGAAGTCAACGATGTGCTTGTGATACAAAGACCTCCAGGCTACACGATGCAACGGCCCCGGCACGTTAAAAGGCTCCGCTAAGATTGGAGATGCCAAGATGGTTCCAGTAACACCAAGGCATGAAGGAGGCTTGCGTGCTCTGAGATCGGTCAGCTTTGGAGAGAATGGCCGTGGCCTCATCTTCAGGGCCAGTTGCATCAGGTCGGATCTGCATTGGCCGTGGTCGAATCATCACATGCTACAAGTAACTCCACCTTGAAATGCTGCCGTGTGTGTGAGCAGTGCGGGCTGCTGAGGTTTGGATTTTCGGCGGCAGTGGAGTACGGATTTCAATAATCCCGAGGACCTTGTGAGGGCAGGGCTGACAGTCTTCAGGGAAGCGGACGGAGGAGGTTTTGCTGTCTGAGGCGTGCGAGGGCCCGGACGTGCGGAGACGCAGGAATCCTTTGGCCAGATGCTGCTTCGGAGACGAACATTCATTATGCCATCGCAGACCGTGAACATTGAAAGGATAGCAGAGAAGACCACTCGAGGATCCTGAGACCACTAAACCATGCTAGACCCACCAAGCTGCAAGACTCCCAAGCTGCAAGACTCGAGGTATCCTCGAGCTGAGCTGAAGAGGTCGAATAGTGAATTAGTAGGACCTTAGACACTGCCATTTGAAGGCGCGACTCGCAACATCGCAAACACATGCAAACACCATGAAGCGCCACGTTAGAGGAAGCAGGAAGAAGCGACTAGAGACACACCCCCGAGCATGTTGACATCCAAGATAAGGCCTACAGTCGGCGTTTGAAGTAGGCATCCTGAAGTCCTGCGCCAGTGTGGGCGTGTGGCGACGAGGCGATTTTGGGCCATGCCACCATGGAACTACCTCGCACCTATCTGGCTTCCTTGAGTCTTGTACCATCATGGGCCGAGCGCCTTTACTTGAACGAAAGAGTAATCGTGTTACGACGCAGCCCTTGGACAGCAAGCCTTCAAGTCATATACCATGACCCTAAACCCCATAGACCGAGATCCTAAACCTTGAACAGTGAAACTATTCGAAAGGGAGGTTTGCACCGCCGAGCCCATCCAACAAGAGCAAAGATTGTGCTCGGGCCGGGGAGGGGGGGCAAGAGATCGAAAAGGTAGAGAAAAGCTGCCAGCCATTTTGCGCATCCGAACCCATCCAACATGCCGCAGGGTTATGATGCAGCAGACACCAGCAGCCACCAGCAGCCACCATCAAATGCAGAATTCAAGGGCGCATGAATCAGGCATTGGCGAAGGTTGTAAGCACTTTGTCCAACATCGACATCTCAGTCGGACAGGGCGGTGATCTCTTCGTTGGGTATCATGGGAACGCTTGAATGGACCCGTATTCGGTGAAGCACCTTCCAGCTTTCGCAAGCAAGCCCTTTTTTGCACAGTCGGGTGATGGCTCATGCCCGCAAGGACTACTATGCCGTTCTGACGCAGCCGGTGCCCGTTCGCACCAAAGCCAGGGTTTGCGAGGCAGTGGCTTTGGATGGTGCCCTGATGCCTTGAGCTTTGAGGCCGGGACCACGATCCGATTTCAGCTTGGTGTGGCATCGCCACCTCTCGCAGAAAAGGCGATGTCGTCAAGCTCAGGGGGCAGCTGCTGCACTCAACGAAAGTCAGGTGATGAACTGGTACTTCAGAACGTGGAGGGCCCTCTCCTAAGCCGGGAAGCTGATGACGGCTTTCTTCACCTGCCAACATTCCATTCAGAATGCTTCTTGGCTCTGCTCGTTGCAGAGGTGGAGCCGCTGGTGGACGAGGACGGAGCAGTGGTCGACGCCTCCATGCCGATCTATCCCTGGATCGGCCGAATCATCACGGCGCGCGCCGTGGACGTGAGCCACCCGAAGTATACAGTCCGTGTGGTGATCCCCTGCGGCAGGCAACCGGAACGAGTGACGGTGCTTTCAGTGGCTTCCTGCTTGTAGGGCCTTGATCTCGGGGAGAGACATGGCATCTCAGAGCCTCAGCCTGGCCTTCCTAGGCAAGTGCCCTTTTCGGTGACTCCCTCCTTGCAAACTCCAGGGGCCGAGCACTGCACTCAGCCAGAAGATCGAAGGGCGACGCCGCCATGAGGGGTCTGGCCAAGGATCAAGCTGACCATCAATTTCGGTGTGGCAGATGGTGTGGAAGCCGATGAAAGCGTTCGAATGGAGGCCAGCGTGATCGATTCTGGCGTCGGCTCTTGCGTTTCTGCTTCTTCGGATTTCAGGTCACTGCACCGGAAGGCTTTGTCTTTGCTGCACGACGCTCAGCCCCTGCAGGTGATGCTTCTCCCAACCTGCAAAGCCCTGCTGCCGAGGACTCCTGTCGATATGGTGGAAGCCCCATCTTCTCGAAGTGCACCGGCTTCTTGAACCAGGCCCAAGCTTGATCTCATGACCTCTTAGAGTCGGCACGAGTTTGGCACCATGTCAGGCAACTTTGGTCACGGCACGTCCCAGGTTCCGGGCTTCTATGACTTCTTTACATGGCTTTCGGCATTTTCATGCTGCAGGCTGCGTGGGTCGGACATCACCGTAGACCTTCGCGTCAGCAATCCTGGCTTGACACCCTCGCCAAACTACTTCTATGTGGCCCTTTTCCAAGATGCAAGTGCCCCAGGGACTGCACTGAAACTTCATCATTGGCTCAGTCTTGCATGTGCCGCGTTGCCTGCCCAGGAGAGCAGTCAGTATGTACGGTGGTCGCAGGCATGGCTGGATTTGTACTTTAGACTCCATCGGGAGTCAGTCCAAGGTCGCAAGTAACACCGCTTTCTGAGGCGTTGAGCTATGAGATCATGGGCCGTGGACCAAGTGCAGAAGTAGTTTGTGGGCGCAGAGCGTATGAGCACACGTTCGTTACATGTGGTGCCGTGTCGCGTCTTAGTGCCCCCCGCATGGTGTGGTCCTCCATGGTACACACCCGAAACCCTCGGGAAGGTCGTCACTGTTATCTCAAAAGTGCCAGCAGTCACAGGGATCGGCCCCCCGAACCCGCGATCTTCGTGAGTGTTGTGGATCTTGAAGCTATGCAACTTCGTGGCGTGTCCAAACTGGCGACAATCACCTGGATGGGCCATGGTTTCCGTCTGCGCCACGCCCAGCTGCTAACCCTCAACCCTAAACCCTTTCATATCTATGCACCTAAACCCTAAACAACCCCACCACCCCCTGTGGGTGCGTGCGCAAACCCTAAATCCTAAAGGGAAGGGGGTTTAAACACTAAACCTGAAACCCACAACCCACCACTACTTCACCACAGGCGGACGAGGGGGGTGTAAACAACCCAAACCCACCACCACACCAACCCACCACCACAGCACACCACACCACACCACAGGGGGGAGAGGGGGGGTTAAATAACCCCAAACCCACCACCACACCTTTAACACGGCGGGGGATGAGGGGGGTTAAACAACCCAAACCCACCACACCACGCCGCAGGGGGCGCGGTGGAGAACACAGGAGGGCCGGGCCCGCACCACACCACAGGCCACAGAGTGGCCGGGAGAATCAAAAACGTGTGGGTATAGGTGGAGCTAACCATGGGGGGGAGGGGGGGTGGGCAACACCACACCATATGTGTGAGAGAGAGGGAACAGGAATTGTACTGTTTGAGTCATTTCATGTGTGTTGATATTTGGCAGCCGGCTCTCCTGAGTGAGTCCCATACCGGAATGGGGTCAAACTTGTCGTTGTCTTCGGCAAGCAAAGCAGTCTTCGCGGTCGCACACTTACTTTCAAGATGTAAGCAGATTGAACGAACATGAAGAGCATGCAAGCTTCCAACTTCAACATCGTCTTGCTCCGAAGTTGTCGATATCTGGCATAAAGTGGTCCTCGCAACGGGACTTGTGTCAGATCATCAGGCCCCTGGCTTGTTTCCTACTGACAGGACCGTAATACAGCAGAAATCCGAAGAGGAAGAACATACAAGTCCCGAAGCAGTGGCATTCCCAAAGCCAAGAGGCCTACTTGTCTGTTGTTATTTGCAACTGTGTACATACCTTTAGCTACTTGTCTGTTGCTATCTTAGCGCTGTACACCTGTCTCTCGTGCCCTGGCCCTGCTACGCATCTAGCCTGTACGAGCAAGGCATGGGCGTCGTATACAAGGGCAACAATCAGCTGGGCGAGGTCGCAAGCATGCACGGAGCCGTGCTTGTTGGAGATCTCCCATCTTCGCAGTGTGACAGGCAGCCTCCGGATTCTTCACTTTCACACCTGTGCGGCCTTCCCCCTCACCGATCGTGCATATTGTCAGCCGGGCATGACTTCAGCATGTTCCAGTGTATGCATATGCCTTGATACAGTGCGAGCCACGACGGAGCCAAGCTTTGGCAGCACTGCTTTAGTCATGGCAGGTTGTTACACCACCGCCGAATGCTGGTTTCCGTGTACTATGCCCGTGCCCTGTGCAGATGCTGCTCTGTGCAGCGATGAACATGTTCTCAGGCAAACAACTGGAATCCTAGGCACCGGGATCAGCCCGCTCGGCTTCGTGTTCATGCCTAGCTGCGAGCATGGGGCCCAGTGTTCACGAGTAAGGAGTTTGCAAGGGAAGAAGAGGCAGAATTGCACCGTCCATCGCCTGCGAATGGGAAAAGTCTGGTGCTTGTGCAGGCAAATTTTCTTGGCTCAAAGCTGTTGAGTTTAGTTTCCGAAATCCAGATGTGCATAACGTGCCGTGACTGCATTGATGGACTGGACTTGGGCCTCAAATCTGCCCGTCAGTGGGCCGATGCACTGGCTGTGGGGAGTGGCTTCACGTAGCGACGAGTACAGGCTACCTTGATTCTGATTCTGATCCTAGAGCTGGAATTTGAAAGAACGGTTCACAACGTACCGGATCAGGCGGGAAACATTGCTGGATCAAGGGTGCTAGTTGCAATGATCTGCAAGGACGTGATGATATGGCTGATCTTCTCATCGGCCTGTGTGGCCGCTCCTCGGCGTTCCATTGCATGTCTCTATGCTGTAGGGCATCTCGTTGCAGCTTCGCACCTAATTTTATCAACATAATCTTTGCAAAGGCGCTGGCGGAGCGCCCGTCGCTTGATGCCGACGGCGTTCGCCAGGCAGCCATGTCGGGTCTTGAAAAGTCGAAGGCTGAAGAGGAAGCTTGGCATGCCAGAGACCGGACATGAAACGAATGCGCTTGGCTTCAGCCGTTCGCTTTTCGTGAAAGACACAGTCCTGCTTTCTGCCACTGATTTGCTCAGACTCGGCACCCCATTTTTTGTTTTTAGTGCTCAGCTTGGTTATAGAGTCGATTGGAGACTGGTTAGAAATCTCGTAGACATGCTTCTGATTGGCGCATCTACTAGAGAATGGATTGGACGTGTTTCATTGTTCCGACGATGTATGTCGACATGCACAACATACATGCATATGTGTGCAGATGTACATGCATGAGTAAGTATATAGACCTACACACACACACACACTAGTGTGTCTCCTAATTATCGGTCTGGTGGGTAGGAATTAGGAGATCAGTTTCGCGATCGTTGGAACAGACGTGATCTCTCTTTTCCGTGGCCATTTTGGCGATAGCCGATCGGGCCGTACCGAAAAATTCGGCGTGGGAGGTGACAGTGAATAGGCTCGCTCGATTGCAGCCATGTCGTTCCCTCCTGCAGGCTTTTCTCAGGGCCGCCCGATGGCGGCTCCGTCAGTCCCGCAGTTCGGGTTGCCTCGCCGAATCCGCTCGACGGAGAACCAAGGATCCTGGGGGTTCTATGTTCCGGCGAAGCCGAAGCTCCCGAGAACCCAGCGGCTCCACCTGCCGCATCCGGCGATTGGGGCTCTGGAGGATGGGGTCGCGACGATCGTCGAGGACGTCGTGACCGCCCTGCTCCTGCAGCACACAACCCTTTTGCTGTTCAGCGGCCTGAGTTCGTTCGCCAGCTCGTGGTTGAAGAGGAGGATGAGATCCAGAACTCGCTCCTCGCCATCGACAATCGCGACGACCGGGTGATCTCCCCGTTCCAAAACTGGCTGGCCGAGGAGATCATCTCGAATGCTGCCAGCTCGATCAACGTGCTGACGGAGCGGGATCTGGTCATGCCCCCGAACTCGGGCTACCATTGTTCGCTGTTCGCGAACTACACTCTCGATGGCATCAAAGCAGTTCTGCTCTTCTCGATGACTTCGAGAACAGGGGGCCCATGTGCTCAGTGGGACTCCTATGCGAGTCGGGCGCTATCGCACCCGGCCTTCCAGCCCTTCGCATGGCCGGTGATGTCCGACACCTCGGCCACCTATGTGGATGTGAAGGTCTTCAATGGGAACGAGGTCCTTTTCCACTGGGTGTTCCGAGGTTACCGTTCGGACTCGGACCTCTCCGTCCAGCAGCAGTTCTGTGACGAGGTCCTGATCAGGTCAGCCAACGAGGGATGGTTCCGGCCCTCGATCGTCATCTCGGTCTTCGGTAGGAGCCCGAGTCTACACGATCGGGCCGAGAGGAGCGGTGATGGCAAGTGATCATGCCATGAGCACTTGCGAGCTCCGAGTGACGGATCGCTCCTCGAGAGAAGGCTATGGCAACGATGCCGATCGTGTTGAGTTCCGGTTCCGGGACGCGAACAACAGGATCGATCTCAAGTGCGGGCGGACCTCCGTGCCAGGCACCTGGCTCACGGTCAGCCACATCTCGGGGCCCGCCTTGATCAACACGATCCAGGCCTGCCGGAGCCAACGTGCTCGCGTGGAAGGCCCGGACCACATCCAGCAGTTCGCCCAGCTGTCTGCAGTGATCGGCCCTTGGTACCGCAGTGCGTTCGCCGGCGAGCAGGAGCAAGTGGGGACAGCGACGGATGAGTTCCCAGTCGATCATGGGAACTTCCACGTGAGGGCTCGGTCCAAGCTCAGGGTCTGCCCACTGGAGTTCGTGCGGCAGGAGGCGCTCGCCCATCGGTCGCACGACGAGAACACCGCCGTTCGGGCCCGCAATGGCCCTCCGGCTCTCATGGATGAGGCGGCTCGGCAGGCGGTTCAGCAGCTGGGCTCCTCCGTCACCTCGGCTATCTCGAACATGCCTACCTCGGCTCAGCAGGTGTTCGACCAGAGGGTGAGCACAGGTGCCGACCGAGGGCGAGCTGGAGGAGGCGCAGCTCGCCGAGCAGGTCGTCATGGAAGCCCGAGGGCGGACACCTCGGCTGCGATCACGCCGCAGGTCTTCACGGACGTCCTCCAAGATCGTGAGCAGGCGGAGTACGAGCGGTTCAGCACGGTCAGGGTGGAGGAGACGGGCCAGGAGATCACCGCCTCGGCTTCCACCCCGACCTCGGTGCCGAAGGCGTTCGCCCCGGCTTACCCGCCGGCCAGATCGACAACGGGGCCCTACACGATGGACACTTCGGAGTAGTTGTCGATCGGGGCTCAGATGACGGTCGAATTTTGTGCACGCTCCTAAGAGAGTGGTGCGCCGCGCGACCGAAGCCCCCTGGCTGATCAGCCGGGCTCTTCCCCGGAACAAACATGCCGAGCGATCCTCTCGGCGCGCTAGATCCCAGCGCATGTTCTGCCGGAAGTGAGTGTGATCATGACCTGTCTCAGGCACGGCGCTCGGTTGCCATTAGCAGGCACGTGCGATCGTCTGTGCAGCTGTTCAGGCCAAGCATGGATAGGTCCGTTCGGAAGATCTTGTCCCTCCCTTTGTTCGGGGATGAGTTTTGCCAATGGTTGGTGGATCTTCGGATGGCTCAGTTCGAGAAGCTCTCGGCTGTTTCGGACGGGACGATCGCTGAGTGTGTGCAAGCGTTCGTTGATCTAGTCCCTGCTCTCGAGGAACTCCACGCGCCAGATCGGCGAAAGAACGAGGAGGAGCTCGGCAGGTGGGTCCCGTCGATCGAGCTGTTGTTTGTGCTGGTTGGTAGCACGGCGGCAGCGGGCTGGGCTGATCTGGCTACTGATCTGGGATTCGGCTTGGTTGAAGCTCCGGTCGTCTTCGGGCGATCGCCCCTGAAGTCGAAGGGGACGGGCAGCGAGCCTCCTATGCCCCTGCCACTCGCTAAGAGGCCGCGGTCGATCGAGCCACGGGCCGAGGATCCACAGGCTTCGCTCAAAGCTCGTGAGCTCGGAGAGGCACGGAAGTGGGGCATGAGGCTGAAAGCGATCGTGGAGAGGTGCGGCGAGCACGCAGCGATCGCTGGCAACCCGAAGCCTCGATCTCCTCTTTCTCAAGATGAGATGAATGCGCTGAGGGTGATCGTCTTCGAGAGTGGCGGTTTCCGCACTATCCAGCAGTGCGTTCGTCACTGGGAGAGGATGGGGACATGGGCGAGGTCGCAGAACATATCGGCGATCCCGCTGACCACCGATGTGCTCGTCAAGTATCTCTTGAATCTCTCCGATCGAGGATGCGGCCCCACGGTCATACCTTCGGTCCGCGGGGCGGTCAAATGGATCTGCAAGCGGATCGGTATGCAGCTGCCAGATCTCCTCGATCCCCGGATCATGGCCTTGCAGAAGAAGGTGTACGGCGATCGAGGGAAAGAGACTCGGGAAGCAGTTCCTATCCCTCTGGTCTTGGTGGCGGCGCTCGAGAGGTTTGTAAGCGCTCGTTTCAAGTCGAGCCAGTTCCCCATGGCGTTCTTCGCATGGTGGGTGCTCGTGATGATCTACTCGTCCCTCAGGTTCGACGATGCGCTCCACGTCGTGCCTGAGGCGCTCGCCTTGAAGGACGAAGCCCTTTATGGGGTGGTGTGGCAGACTAAGGTCGAGCGGCAAAAGAAGGGGACGCGATTTGCAGCGGCCAGAGTCTCCGTCTCCGGATCCGATTGGATGGAAGACGGATGGCACGCAGCTTCGTTCGAAATGGACGATCGCGACTACTTCATGAAAGAGCTCGAATCGGCTGAGCGATTCGCCGACCAGCTACCAGAGAAGCATTCTGTGGCTGCGGTATGTGCTCACTACTGCAGCATCAGATGACTTGAAGCGGGGGCATATCGCGCCCGAACGGCTCAAAGAACTCTTGAAGATCGTGCCGGAGATCACCTGGCACTCTTGCCGAGTCACGCTGCTCGCGGCGGCGGTCCAGGCGCAGGAGCCCGACAAAGAGATAGGGCTAGGCGAACTGGAAGGATCCGAGCCAGCTGGTCCGGAAGTACGCTCGGAGCCGCAAGGAGATCTCGATCGAGATGGTCAAGCGGCTCACGAAGAGGATAGCCTCTGACTGGAAATCCCCGCCCGAGTTCGAGGCTGACGACACCAACCTGGTCGACTTCGGAGATCTCGCTCTGACCTATGTCACCAAGGCTAGATCGGCCTCTGGATCCTCTAAGGATCTGAGCCTTAAGTACCATGCCATGTATATAGATGGCTCGGGCACGGAGCGAACGCTCTGTGGCCGGTATGCGATCACCGAGTGCGAAGACCTCGGCGAGATTCCGCCGAGCACCCAGATGTGCTCGTTGTGTTCCGGTAAGATCTTTACGGAGCCGTGAATACAGCTGCTCGCCGGTCCGATGGTCTTTCGAAGCTGAGCCTCTCGCTGACCGAAGCTTTTCTTCCCAGACAGCTCGTTAGCCAGCCATGGTGGATCGCACCGTGTACGCGGACGAGGCGGCGACCCCGAAGTTGAACCTGCGCCAGATCTTCGGGAGACAGGGGCTGGATCCGGCCCTATGCAGGCTTTCGGCCGACAAGGGTCTTCTTACGGTCGAGATGTTCGCTATGCTAGGGCAAGATCTCACTGCAGCAAAGGCGACGATCCGCCGGTTGTGGCAGGACGACTTGGCCCCGCTCGGGGCGGACGCGGCTGCCCAAGAGCTCTCCGTGATGTCCCTGGCAGCGGTATGGCAAACTGCTCAGGCTTTGCAAACGCAATACGCCTCTCGGCGAGCTCGCATGCAGGAGGACCCGAACAAGATCCCGGAGCTCTCCCAGGAGGATCACGCGGAGTTTCGCGATCGCTTTGTGAGGGTCCATCCCGACGTCATCCTGATCGACGCCAAGGAGCCGCACAAGAAGTTCGTCGAGCGGCTGTCCCGCGATTTCCTGATCCACGGGATAGTTCCTTACTATGAGCCGGCCGAGATCAGGACCCGCTCTGACGTTATAGTGGTCAAGTCCG